GCATGCCTGTCGTGAAAGTTGTTTGGTTTCTAGCATTAAGTACTCAGATATTTCTTTTTTGATGATTGCTTTTTAAATTAATTTATCGCCTTTGTTCTTTTGCCTTTAGAGCTTATTTTGTCTTACAAGACCTTCTGACTGGTATCAGCTTGCCAATATGACCTTAGCTGAATCTGCAATTCTTTTTATCAAGAACTTCTTAAAAAGATATTTCAGCTGCTTTGGTGATGCTTTCCTTCATTATTTTTTCTAATCTATCTTTATACTTTATTACTTTGCTTTCATAGATGCAAATTGGAAGGACTTGGTTCATAGCTGGTTTCTTTAGCGTAGCTCCTAGAATTAACTTGTCTGAACACTGATGTAGATACACTGCTTACAGTACGCCACTGTCCTCCAGGAATGTAATGAAGATAAGCCTTGTACCAAATGAAATCTGTTCTTCCATTCATTTTAGTTTGGTACTCTTGCTGTGGTGTTTTGTGGTCTTTGGTTTTGCAAAAATTAAACTGTTCTCAATTCCAACATCAGCATCTCTGCTGTCTGATCTGAGATTTAAAAACTTTAAGCAGCGTTAGTGCTCTAGTGTTAAAAGCTTTGATACCAGGCACTCTCCAAACCTGTTTTTATTTTTTTGAATGTGGAACTAGAAAAGTTGCATAAGGAAAAACATTAACCTCCATTGAAAGGGTATTAAAAAATCCTTTAACTTTCAGTCTAATGAATGAAATTGGTTAAGCCTACAAACTCCATAATAACACAATAGATCAGTTTTGTATACTGTTACTTAAAAGTAAAAAATATCCAAAGCTACTTATCTCTAGGAAACTTAGGAAGTATATGAAGGTATCAAGTTCTGGACTGCATTAAAATAAGGGGTGGCCAGCAGAGAGAGGGGAGGTGATTGTCCCCTTCTTCTCAGCTCTTGTGAGGCCCCATCTAGAGTACTGCGTCCAGACCTGGGGCCTGTTGTTCAGGAAGGATGTGGAGCTCTTGGAGCGTGTCCAGAAGAGGGTCACTAAGATGATCAGAGGGCTGGAGCACCTCTCCAGTGAGGAAAGGCTGATGGAACTGGGCTTGTTTAGCTTGGAGAAGAGACGGCCCCAGGGAGATCTCATTGTGGCCTTCCAGTTCTTGAAGGGAGCATATAAACAGGAGGGAGAAGGGGGGTGGATAGTGATAGGACAAGGGGGAATGGTTTCAAACTGAGAAAGGGGAGGTTTAGGTTAGATATTAGGAGGAAGTTTTTCACACGGAGGGTGGTGATGCACTGGAACAGGTTGCCCAAGGAGGTTGTGGATGCCCCATCCCTGGAGGCATTCAAGGCCAGGCTGGATGTGGCTCTGGGCAGCCTCGTCTGGTGGTTGGTGACCCTGCACGTAGCAGGGGGTTGAAACTGGATGATCATTGTGGTCCTTTTCAACCCAGGCCATTCTATGATCATATTGTGAGGAAATACTACACTAAAGGAAATGAATTATGTGTACATAGTATATGCATATATGGAGAATGTGAGCAAATTATTACGTTATTTTAACCTTAGGAATATCACAGCTCTTAAAGATAACATCCACGTATCCTCAGATTCTTAATAGATAACTGTGAATGACTGCAGAGGAGGAAAGAGGAAGAAGCTATTGTTTGACTAGTTTGGGAGTGGCATGACTTAAAAGAACTTTCATAGGTTCTGAACTGTTAGTAACGTTCAGCTACCTTTTATTATTTCCATCATTGTGAGTTAAGTTCACTCATAGGAATAGCAGCTTGGGACAGAGGTTTGTGAAAACATGAGGATGAAGGATGTCTAGCAGAGTTTGTCAAAAGTCACTGAATTGTTGTACTTCCTTGATATGGAAAACATGCGTGGCCATAGCATCATAAATTCATGTTTAATAGTGTAATATTTGTGAGATGTAATGGTAGTTTAATTTTAACTTGAGTGAGCAGACTGCTGTAATGCTTGAGATTAGGAAACTACATGATCTAGGGAACATTTTTTTTTATTTTTTAGCGTAATACAAATTATCTCATTTTGACCAACTCCTTTCCTGATAATTGACATCTTTGAGTGCAGGTGCAAGTTCTCAGACTTTTAGGGTGATGTACATGTTCCTCTTGCTTAGATGAAGTGAAAATAGGCTTTTTCTTTCTTCTATATTACCTTAGGTAGTTGCAAGGAAACTTCTTAAATAGATTTTGGATCTGTGATAGTTTTATTCAGATTTTCTTCTGTAAATTTAATGTGGGTTTTAGTACAGGAGTAGCAGTTTAAATAAAAAGAAATGCTAACTGAACAATGGCTGCTAGTTAGAAGGAAATGAAGATCATTCTGTGTTTGTTTACTGCATTCAGCCAGCAGTCTAATTAAATATTTACAACAAAAAGCATTTAAAGGATGCCAGCACTGACCGCATTTTATGCACGTATGAACAACTGAAATGTATTGGAGTTGACATACGGGTTCTATGGTTACTTAGTTTGCTTATATAAAATAAATCTGTGTTGCCTTAGTGTACAGTTAAGGCAATGTTTTCACCCCGAGTAAAGAAAGGTATGATTGAATTTGATATGGAGTAGGTGTTTAATTGTTGTTGGGTTTTATTTGCAAATCTTTATTTTTTGACTGCTGTGATGCATAGCCTAGCATTTGAATAAACCTAAGTGGTCTGCCTAAAGTAAGAACATCTTTTCTTTAGGAAAAGAAAAATAAGAATGAAATAATTTTGCGTGTTTTGCAAACTTTGCTCCAGATTCGATGTAATGTTTTCATGTGAGCTATCTCTAAGCCAGAAATGTACCTTGTGAGATCAGTCACCAGCACAGACTTTCAGGTCTGGTTTCCTTGACTCCAGTTCTTCCATCTTGCTGAGAAGGGGGAGTGTGACAGCAGCTGGGAGCACCAGGCACCTGGCAGCTGGCTGGGGTCAGCCCACCACTCTTGATTGTTACTAAGCTGAAGGGCCTGCTGTAGAGAAAAGTGGCTACTGCAAACTTCTGGGGAAATAGTTACCTGTATTTCTGAAGGGTAAAATCTGTGAAAGTACCAACCAGCCTTGAGGTTGTCAGCTCCCATTTTTCAAAAATGACTTGGACTTGTATAATCCCCTGATGCTTTGTAACACTTCAGCTACAAATTGTGCTTGTTTCATAATTGTATCTTTTGAAAAATTTCTGATCTTCAAGACTGCAAGGTCTGCTGAACAGTGCAGTCTTTAATTAAGTAGGGGTTTGGATTCTTGGGGAATAAAACAACGCCTTCACTATTTGCTCTGCGCATACCGTTTTCTCTGCCCTCCCAGCCTTAACATTTAGCACAGCGCCATGGAGCTGCAGTGAGAGGCACACTTGAGGAGCACTGTGAGCGCTCTGTCACTGTCTGCAGCATACAATCACTTCAGTGTCACCAGGGCCTACACAGAGGCAGTTGATGGCGTTTCTTTGGAATTGTAGTAGTGTATGGCATCTACTGAAATCTGTAGGATAAGCAAATGCAGAAATTCCTTTCAGCTGCCAGGCCTCTGAAAATGCCATGTTGTGGCCTCGCTGGTAAATGCCACAAATAGCTGAACAGTCATGTAGGTTCAAAAGGCAAAGCTGCATGCCGTTCATGTTCAAATGTTCCACCAACAGGCTGTATTTTAACTGCGGAAAGAAATTCTGATCTTCCCTACTCTTGATTGTTTATTGTAAGCCAAGTGATCTAAAATGTTTTGCTTCTCGTAGGCTGCTATCTCCAGTACAATTCTTTTCCCCTAAAACCTGGTGCGCAGAAACAGGATGTGGGCCAGTCACTACTGGCAATAGGAAGACACGGGGTGACCCTGTTTACATTTCCATTTTCTAGTATGGAAATAACAAATAAAACTTCAGGACTAACTGCAATTTACTTAAGCTGTAATTCTTCAGAGCTGTAAAAAGCAGATGTTTTATAAGTAAACTTAAATTATATCTTTCGTTACCATTATAAAATATCAGGCTGCAATATTGAAATTAACATAAAATGAAAATGATTTTCTTTTTCTTTTTTTATTTTTAATTCCAGAGATTTGTTTGTTCTTGAGAATAAACTTCTCTAAGATCTTGTTTTTGAGTATTTAATGGATTTTTTGGGTAAGGAGAGTTAGATAAAAGGCAGCCCTCTTCATTTATTTTCTTCTCAAAATCTCTATACCGTTGTTAGTTATGCTCTGCTTTTTCTTGTATCTTGTTTCTACTAGTTTGATCACCTACTTTTATTGGACTACTCCGTTTTTTTGTTTCTTGAAGACAATGAAGGATTTTGGTTTTCATAAAACCATAGAATGGCTTGGTTTGGAAGGGACCTTAAATACCATTCAGTTCCAATCCCCTCCACCATTCCTGTCCAGCCTGTCTTTGAACACCTTCAGGGATGGGATCCACAACTTCTCTGGGTGACATATTCCAGTGGCTCGACACCTTCGTATTACAGAACTTCTTCATGATATTTGATTTTTCCCTTTTCCATTTAAAAGTGTTATATGTTTTCTTGGGGTTTATATATGATTCAGAAAAGTCATTGAGATATAATACAAAAATGCTAGAAATGCACAAATTAACTAAAATTAACACATTGGAAAGCTTCTTGATATTTAGAAGATATTAACGTAGAAAAAGTTGTCTCACATGAAGTCTTTGCTTATTTAAAAAAAATGAAGATCAAGAAAAACTATCTTAAGAACTATTTAGCAACAACTAAATGTGATAAATAATTAGAATAAGAAACGGTACTTAATTTTCCTTGTACTTGCAAGTCAACTTTGACAGTGAGTTGGAAAAGAATGGAAATTTTACAGTGATATTTATAGTTTTGAAAATATTATAAAGTTTTTATCTTAAGAAAGCTTACAGCGTTCTAACCTATTTTACAGGTATTTTAAGTTGTCCTGACTAATTGTATCTCTTTATTCAGCCTGTTTTATCGATGTTCATAAAATCAAGCATTTACTAATAGTACTTTTTATTTTATTTTATTTTTCCAGAAAAGAGCAAAAGGACAAATTCTATTTGACAAAGTGTGTGAACATCTCAATTTACTGGAAAAGGACTATTTTGGGCTGTTGTTTTATGAGAATTCAGATCAGAAGGTAAGGCTGTATTAGAGTTTTGTTTTTCCTCGACGTTGCTACTGACTGCAGTAGCTCAGTAAGGGATACAATATTAAATATATACCTTTACAAACATTTGAGCAAACCATTTTTAAACTGTCAATTTTAGTCCACTGTAAATTTGTGTCAAGTACAAGATAGTCTGTGTATGTTAATGAAGTTTCTATTTTTTACTTTGAAGTGGTAAATTTAAACAATTCCTGGGCTTTATTTTGTTATAATAAAATATTTTACCATCCGTGCCAGAGAAGATAGGAAAATGCTTTGCATTAACAGCCTGACAAACCTGCCAGAGTTTTGAAGACTTTCATTTGTTAGCCTTTTTAAAAAACAGATACACATGATGATAAAATAATAAAAAAAACAAAAACAAAAACCTGATCTTCTGCTTGCCTTTCCAAGAATTTCACTGCTGCTTCTCATGTATACTTAATAATGCTCTGACAAATAATATAAAGGATATCTTGGCCCAGGGTTCAAAATGCTAGGCCTTTTAGTTACTTTTCATAGAATGAGAGAGTGAGTTGAGTTGGAAGAGACCTTAAATATCGTCTAGTTCCAACCCTTCTGCTATGGGTAGTATTGCCAACCACTGGACCAGGCTGCCCAAGGCTCAATCCAACCTGGCCTTTGAATGCCTCCAAGGATGGGGCATCCACAGCTTCTCTGGGTGAACTGATACTATGAGTAAAAATTTCTCATAGTATCTTATCTATATCTCCCCTCTATTAGTTTAAAACCATTCTCCCTTGTCCTGTCACTATCTGCCCAAGTAAAAAGTCAGTCTCTCTCCTGTTTATAAAGTCCTTTTAAGTACTGGAAGGCCCTGATGATGTCTTTCTGAAGCCTTCTCTCCAGGCTGAACAAGCCTAGCTCTCTCAGTCTTTCTACATTGGAGAGATGCTCCAACCTTCTGAGCATCTCTGTGGCCAACCTCTGGAGCCACTCCAACAGTTCCACATCTTTCTTGTGGAGGCCTCAGGCCTGGATGCAGTACTCCAGATAGGACCTCAGGAGGGCCAGTCAAAACATCAAAAAAATTTTCACTTGAAAAGATGAGACTGGAGCTAGTCTGTCTCCAATACTGTGTGCTAGTTTCAGTAATGAAGAGGTGTTTTGACATCAATATGTTCAAATAGGTTATCTTAAGTTCCTTTTGGTAACATGTTTTCTTTCATCTTTTTATGCTTGTTTTTGGTGAGCACATTTAGATTGATGAGTTGAGGAACATCTTAGATCAGCTGTTGGCATTCATTCCACTAATTACTAAGAGCCAATTTAGCTTTTCCCTGCATCTGAATATTTGTGGTTAGTAATGCACCAGCTGTTACTCTGTCCACAAACTAAAATATACCTGCAGTCATCTTTTCCATCATAAAGAACAGACTAATAATTGGAAATTGAAATGGGAAAAATGTAATTCTTTTAATCTTAATCTCTGTTTTCATGGCAGGAAGTATCATTACATGAGTGTTAATTAGTTCAAGTGAAGCTGTTGTTTGCTTTTTTATTTTTATTACTTTTCATTAATTCTCATTTAATTTTTGTGTTTGAAATGAAATCTAATTTAGTGATCTGAATAAATCTGAGAACTTCAAAAACATAGTTGTTTTCTGGACTTGCTTGCTGTGGAGGTTTTCTGTAAAGCATTGAACAAAACACTCGGGTCCTCTGTGTTAATGATTTCTGTGTATAAACTATTTTTACTTGGATATTGTATTTTTTGTTACTGATTTTTAAGCCCTTTATAGAAATGAGTTTTTTCAGTGTGACAACAAATAGTACCTCACTCGATCCTCTGAGCAATACCATAGCATCATTTATTTTTTGTTGTAATCACTTACAGTCCCTTTGTGTTACTCAGTATTCTTGGAAATATATGAATATATGAAATGTATTTCAAAAAACGAATTTTAACCCCTAGCTTCAGTATGAATCGGCACTTAAGTGCTTACAGTCTCTTGTAGGTTGCACAGTCTGTACTGCATCATGTGCCTCAGTCGTATAGGTTTTTTATTTTCATTGCTATTGTCACTCAAGTTACCAAACTTAAAGCTGTCACGTTTGTACAACGCAAATTATTGCATGTTCTAGTCCTACTTATGGTATAAATACATCCTGACAATATGAAATGCAGTTACTGCAGTGTCGTAAGTCAGAATTCCTAGTTGTGTGCTGAGAGATTTGTCATTCTCCCCCCCACTCCCAAACCAATTGATGTTTCTTTCATGTCTGTAGATTTGAAATAGTACAGCCTTACAGAATGGAATCAGTAAGATAGGTGCACTTTTGTTTTTAAAGGATCTTAGGATTTTCACACATCTCATCATCCTTTCATTCTTCCCCCCCCAAAAAAAATATTAGCATCTATATTTATTTAATAGGAGGGGGTGGTGATGCTGATGAGTTCTGTTCACCAATATCTGCCACAGAAAGCTTGGAGACTTGGAATTTTCACTGGTTTTAGCCTTCTCTATTTCACCTCTCTGTATTAAAATCAAGTTTGAAGTCTTTTTTTCATTTCAATACTCAATCTTTCTGATACATTTTCCTGTTATGAATATTTCCTCTTGAGATTAAAATGCCACAGATCTCCATCCCTGTCAGTACTAAATACTGAATGATGTGTTTTTTTTCTCATTCTTGTGTAGTCATCACAGCCACCCATTTAGGAGCCAGCTGTTGAACTAGACAGCAGCTGTGGGGTGTGGAAACTCAATGCCAGACACTCTTTTGAATTAGAGCTGCTCCCTAATGCAACATCAGGGTACCATTGGAGGAAGAGTTCCATTAACTTTCCTCTATGGGTGTTCTGTGCAGCTGGCAGAGATGTTATGTTTTCAAATCATACTGATTTTGTTAGCCTTAATAGACATGTTAAAGCTATTTAGATAAAGTTACTCATTAACAATTTTTTTTCATGACTTTATAAACATTAAATTTATTGGTCTAATGTGTATTTCATTGCATTACGCCCCCCAAAATTTCATGAATGCTCCATTCACACTGTAAGCAGGCTGCAGAAGCGTTAGAAAGCTTGCGCTCTTATGTTGTGGGCACCAGCTGGAAATGCTGCTTTTCTGAATTTGGACAAAATACTTTTGTACTGTTAGAGAATGTTTTGTTGTTCTTTGACAATTCATTATTTTGTCTTATCTGTAACCTTACCATTCACAAACAAATAGTTTTTTGCCTACTGGAGCAATGTAGTATACATACGCTTTGTCTTTTGTATTGAAAGACAGACCTGCCTATTCTGTGTTAAGGGGTGTATTTCAGGGGAGATTTTTTCCATGGTGTTTGTTTTATCCCTAACAAAAGGCACAGATGCAAACCAAAAACAAACAAAAACAAAATCCCTGTAATTATGCTTGTAAATGGAAAACAAACATTGATTTTATCTGATGGAACAAAGGAAAGTTGACAAAGTTTGCTTCCAATAAACCTGAGACTTCAAAAATCAGAAAATGAACTAAATTTATTTAAAGAAATTATTATTCTTCTGATTTTTCAGCACATTCTGTTTTGTGTTTTTTTCTTCCTCTCAGCCATAATGAAAGGTGAAATGTTGACACAGACATATATGCATATATCCTAGTTTTCTGCTGTAATTATGCCACACTATATAATTTATATTTATATTGCTTAATTTATAGTATACTTTGTGTTAAGAATTCATGGTACTTTTTAATTTTATTTATAATTTGATGAAAAATTGGGAATGGAATTAACAGCAAAATTGAAAATTTAGCATGATAATTGTAGCTGAAATTAATTTCAGCTAAAATTATTCTAAGACTTCTAATGTATTTCAAGGCTTTTCTTTGTCAAGATTCTTCCAACAGGTAGTATTTTTTTGTGATTTAAGCAGAATAAGTGTTATGCAGATTTTTTTTTAGGAGCGTTTTATATGCTTGCCTTCACAACAGTGTTGTGGACTGTGCATCTCTGAAAGAATTGTAATTGTTACAAAATGCAGATGTTGTGCACTTCCTAAAACTGAATGAATATGGAATTATCTTTGTATTTTAATTGCAGCTTAAGAATTGATTAAAAAGGTTTTTCTTGCATTTATTTGTAAATAGTATTTGTCTAATGTAGATGCTCAGCATCAATGACAGAACTAGCTTGGATCAAGGTCATTTGCAACAAGATTATTAGTATTTTGGGTTGTATACACAGAAGGCCACATCCTGTAGCAGCAGAGATCTACAATAAGGATTTGCAGTAGAGTAAAAGTGTAGTGTAGTTTACATTCTTCATAGAGAACCATAAAAGGATGATATAACATGCTTTGTTTGTTTGAAATAGACTTATTTTTTTAGTGGTAAAGTCTGTTTAAAAGGACCCTACGGTATTGTAAAACAGTTGTTGGGGTCTACAGTGTGGCATCAAAGACTGAAAGTTGACTCATATTGTACCCAAGACTCGGTACTTAGGTAGGTTAGGCAAGCAGTGTTGATAGAGCTGCATCTTTAGAAATGTTAGTGCTGGTGCTTAGGTCCCATCTGATCTTGAGGCTGCTACTGTCTGTAGTGGGCTACTGAAGTGTAAATGCTCTCCAGAGAAGAAGGCTCCATAATGTCTCTAGGCAGCTTGTTGTTGATATGAACAACTGACTTGATGTGCATTGTCTAAAATAGAGCCAGGCATCTAGTTTTGAACGTTGCCACTGTGTCAGTGTTAAAATCATGCATGTTCATAGAGAACTTTGTTTTGGGGAAACTCAGAAACTTGAGTCATTTTTCAAAGCACCTTTGAATATTATCAGAGCTAGAATGTATGCTCTTTAAGAAAAATGATGGGAATAATAAATCTTCAGATATCAAGAGAAAAATCTTGTCTTAAATAGCTCTATACAGGTGTGCAGGGACAGGCATGTAGGGATTACATAACTTTTCCTGAGAAGTCTACTTATATCAATAAAATGAGAGAAAACGGCATTTGTCAAATGTAATTTGCTAGACAACCTCTACCTTAAGAATATCCACTTACCATAAATAGTCTAAAGCAATTAGACAACCATGAAGGGAATGGCGTTACACAGTTTCATTTATGTACAAGGGTGGGGAGGCTTGCTACCAAATTACAACTTCAGTTTTAGGATTGTCTGGGAAATTTTAAAGAGAACAGATGTTGGAACGATACAAAACTTAATTGCATTGTATGAAATTGTATGGAATTACTTCTTCCTCTTGCTGATAGATGATTTTAAATGCTGTTTATTATGTTATTATTTTTCCAGAACTGGCTAGATTCTTCAAAGGAAATTAAGAGACAAATTCGAAGTAAGTACTTCTGTATTTGGATGTTATGCTCCCATTTTTTTGCTCACAGAAACACTTTCTGAACTCAGTAGTATGGATGTTGCTTAGAGTGCTGTAAGAATTTGTCTGATAATGATGGATTCAGCCTTAGAACAGAAACCAAGGCTTCTGCGTCTGTCTGCTATCCAAGGAGTGAAACAGACTTGTGCTGTAGAAGTTAATCATTATACTGGCTGCTGACCCAAACTCTTCTGTTTTATATTTGACTAATCAGTTGATATTTTTGCATCTCAAAACAGTGAACGTTATTCAAAGGTTGCTGCTATTTGAGCTATGAGGTGGAGAATGTTATCTTCCAAAATAGTCATATTTGTTGCTATAGGGCTCTTTAACTTCAAAGACCCAACAGAAGAATATGAAACTACAAAAAAATATGTCTTACAGAAAGCATGTATTTGTTTTCAAACCTGGCCAGTCCAATGTTGGCTTTTTTTTTTTGTTGACAATTTTGGAACTTCTGAGTACTCTTTACAACGTGTTTCAGATTGAATGCCTGTGAGAAGTCTATTTCCCATACTCAAGATAGAATCAGAGAATCATAGAATGTCTTAGGTTGAAAGGGACCTTAACAATCATCTAGTTCTAACCCCTATACAATGGGTGATGTATTTTCCTCTGTTCCCATAAAGTTCGGTCAAGTATTTCAATAGCCCTGTAACTTTTACAGTAGACAGTAAATTCAGGAAATACTCTTCCTGACTTTAAATGTCTCAAAATAACTACTAAAAAGGGTTAGAACAGCTCTTAATGAATTTCTTCTTGTTGCATTACATATTTATGACCAACATGATTTCCTTTTATTTTTTATTATTATTCAGTGGAAACGTTCTTTTGTTAGAGGCTGAAGGTGGGGAGATAATGCTAATTTTATGAGGAAGTAATGATAATAAAATGTGCCTACTCTTCCAACTCAACAAGAATATAAGTTACTTAAGAAACTGACTTTGATCTATTTTGAGGTGTTTGACCCAGTTGGAACACTTATTATTAAGAAAAGCAGTATGTTAATTAAACCTTTTGATAATCATTACAAATGGATGAAATCCCTTATGTTAAGGAAGGCATGTGTTTTTATTTTCAGTGAAGAAATGAAAGTTGCAGAAGTTTCAGTGGAGAACTATTTTAATTTAATATTCTGTTTAAATCTACTAATATGGTTATATAAGTAGAAGCCATCTAGAATTATTTTTTAAAGGAAAAAAAAAATTATGTATAGTAACTTCTTATTCTGAAGAAATGTCAGGTCTTCAGTAAAAACCTATTATTTGTGTGCTGAAGAATGTTTTGTTAGATTTTAATATTTCAAAAAAGAATGAAGACATTGATGCTTTGTGTTCTTGTCTTCAGTAGTGATCTGCTTTCTATAGATCCTGCTAATGTCACAATTCAGAAATGTAAGAAATGGCCTGCAATTATTTTGGATGCACTACATAACATTTTTTAATACTATCTAATATGTACTCCAAAACTACTTTAAGGGAATACGATTTTTCATACAGCATGAAGAGATATGCTCTTATGTAGGAGATCAAGTCCAGTCTCAAATTAGGCATCTCAATTGGATTTTTTTTCTCTGGTCTGTAGTACTTCAGAGTTGAGAGGCATGGTGTATAAGGTAAACAACCAAAGTTGCTTATTCTGATTTGCAAGTAATTAACATACTGGTTTATTCTTTATAATCAAGGTATTAAAATTTCCAGATATCTGAATGTCCTGCAAAAGCAATTTTTTCTTCCCAGCTAGGTGGGTATAAAGGAAGGAAGGCTTTTTGTGGGGTTTTTTTTTTTTTTTTCTCAGTTTTAGTTATAATTAGGAATAGGTATTTTACATATTAAAAATATTCAATTATAATATATTTAAAATACACAAATTGCTACCTGTCTTCTTACAGTTGTGAAGGTGACAGAAAAACTTGTCTGGCTTCAATCAACCTGAGCTCTTCAGGAATTTTTTTAAAAACTCCTTTAATTGTGAAAAAACTCAAATTAATCCAGTTAGTTCAGGTGGGATAATTACATTTCTGTCACTGTCTTGAAAAGTGGTACATCCAAAGTGGATTCAGGCTTTTGCAAAATTCAGACTTCGGCTCTTGGATATAGTAAAGGGACAAAGAGTAGCTGCTTTTGGAAAAAATAAATCCTAAATTTTACAGAGGGTATGATGTTTACAGTTACATAAAATTTAATGTGAGAATTTCTGCGCAAGACATTGTACGTGCAGTGTGTAAATAACATTACATTCAGTTTTGAGTTTTTCTTGACTCAGTCTCACAATTGAATGAGTAAGCTACATAAAGCGGTTTTCATCATGGTATTGTGACTGAAGATCAGTTGTTTGTCAGCAGTAGAGTTTAGATGTGAATGTATAAATTGTATGTTCTAGGAAACTTATTTGCTCATTTGTGTAGTTGAAGTATGTGAAAGTGAGTTATAGATCCGCTTATCTCTCCCTCCATACAAATTTTGAAAATGTCACTGATGTGTGTCCTGCTTTTGCTGCAGCTATAATTCACGATTTTTGAAATGAAAGTTAAAATTGTATGTAGTGTTGAATAGTTGTTTAAGTCCAAGGCACTGTTATATCAATTAATTCTTTTAAACTTGCTGCACTATTAGTATTTTTTACTGTGAAAATTTTAAGTTCTACTAATGAAATATAAAAAAATCATATTGCATATCATGTGTTGTATATCTGATAAGGCATAGAGAGCATTTGGAAATGCTGAGGGCAGAGGAGACTGGTGTGGGTTTTTTGTGCAATCTCACCTTGTATACCATATGTTTTAACTATTGAAATTAAGCATTACTATTTTTGTCATGAGGATACTTTTTTAACAGTAAAGATTCTAGAAACTCATGGCAGTACCCGTAGTGTAATTAATCTGTTCTAATTTTGCTTAAACGTGTCCACCTAAGTTAACAGCAGTTGTTTTCTGAAGAAGTGGATGCTTCTTCAGAAGGAGGTGAGCAATTGCATTCTGAAATAGGTGCCTGAGAGGTAAACCTCTTGGCTATAAAGGGAGACAGTAGTGTCTTACATAGATGATTAAATTTCAAGATTGAATGGAATCATGTCCACTAACATCAAAAGAGATAACAGTTATTGTGACAGAAAAGATGCTTCCTTTTCCTAAAAAGGAATGATTGGCTGATGGAGGGAAGGCAGTAGACTTAATTTACTTGTTCACTGTTTCAATTTAATTAGTGAGGGGAGTGAGGAAAACTAATTCTCTGGAAGTGGATTAGAGCAAATACAGTAATACACCTGTTAAGGCAGCTGGTGGCAAATCATGGGCTATACATTTAAATCTTTCTTTTTATTCATGCTTAAGTCTGTTTACAGCATCTTTATCATTAATGGGCATCCACTCATTCAGACTGGGGAACTTAAAAATGGCCAGACATAATACTGACCTTGAGACATGTATAACCAGTAATTAAGGTATACCATGGAGTAGTGGACTTTGGGCATTCTTGGTTCTATGGTATATTCTGCAGATAAGACTAAACATCTCAACTTCTCAGGATCAAAGATAAGAAGGAATAATGATATGATTAAATATGTGTACTTTCAAATTGCACAGTAGACCAAATAGTGATAAATTAATAAATAGAATTCTGACAGAATTGTGTAGTGCAAATTTAGAATTTTGCAACACTGTGTATTACAGTATTTAAGGATTTTCCAATTTGTACATTAAGTGCTACAGGAAATTATAGTTTATTAAGGAAAAGACTAGGATTTTAATATACAGCTCTAGCTGTTGGATTTTATTGCTAGCAAAACATATAGCAAGTTCAGGTAAAATATATATGCCTAAAACGACTCTGTATATGTGTGTATATATATATATGTGTGTGTGTATATGTATGTATATATATATAAACATGGTCAGTTGTATGTGTAAGGTCACTTTATTTTATACCCAACTCTTTTATGTAAATAAGTATATACATGTGAAATTCATAGTTAATACAGATCTACCAGAATTTAGCATTGAAGAGAAAGAAACACTTCTGCTAAAGGAAGAGCTGTCCTGTGGAAGTGTTCCTTTACTCCTCTTAGTTATAAAAATGATTTTGCAGTTTACAGTTGGGTTTATGAGCTGGATCTTGGTCCAGAAAGGACTGGCTGCACTCTATTTTTGTTTGTGCAGCTTTGAAAATGTGGGCTGGTTACAGATCTTCCCTATTGCTTTTCTTAACTTCATGGAGCATTTTTTATCTCTCTGTGAACAATGCACCAGTCCTAATTGCACAGTATACTAAAAATTGTTATCTGAGGCGCAGAGAGGAGTGGGCAGGCTCTTCAGAGGCATCTGGACAGACTGGATCACTGGGCTGAGGACAGTGGGATGAAGTTTAAGATAACCGATCTGTCCTGCACTTTGGCTACAACTCCAAGCACCACTGCAGTCTTGGGGCAGAGTTAGCTGGAAGACTGCATGGAAGAAATGGATCTGGGGGGCGTTTGTTGGTGCTCGACTGAACATGAGCCAGCAGTGTGACCAGGCGGCCAAGAAGGCCAATGGCATCCTGGCTTGTATCAGAAATAGTGTTGCCAGTAGGAGCAGGGAGGGTTCCCCTGTACTCTCAGCTCTGGTGAGGCTGCGTCTTGAGTGCTGTGTTCAGTTTTGGACTCCTCACAACAAAAAAGACATTGAGACCCTGGAGCATGTCCAGGGAGGGTTAACAAAGCTGGTGAGGGGTCTGAAGCAGATGTCATATGGGGAGCTGCTTGAGGGAACTGGGATTGTTTAGTCTGGAGAGGAGTGTCAGGGGAGACCTTATTGCTCTCTACAATGACCTGAAAGGAGACTGTGGCATGGTGGGTGTCAGCCTCTTCTCCCACAGTAGGACCAGCAATAGGACCAGCTGTGCCAGGGGTTGTTTGGGATAAATGTTAGGAAAAACTTATCAGAAATGCTGGTAAGTGTTGGAACAGACTCTGCCATGGGAGGGATGTGGGTTAGTGGACATGGTGATGAGTTGGTGGTTGGACTAGATGATCTTAGAGATCTTTTCTGACCTTTATGGTTCTATGAGTAAATGCTATAAAACGTGTTTTACTGGAATAAAAACTCACTGATTTAGAAGTTTGAATGAGATGAATCATGTTAATTGTATGTTGCTAGCTGGTTAGTTATATTGCACTCTTTTTCTCTAAGAATGTGCCTAAAGTTTCCGCAGAAGCATTTTTGAGGTATCAAGCTGTCTAGAAATTTTTTTGACATTTCTATAGTTTATATTATTAAGACAGAGTTTTGTCGGAGACAAATTGCTTAATATCATTTTAAATACCCTTTATTTTTATATTGGCTATCAATTCACAGTGTTAGTAATAGCATACATTGTTGTGTGAAGACAATTATGTGTGTGTGCCTCTGTGGTGTGATGATCTGATTATAAACAGTATGCTGTATTGAGAACTAGAAATATAGGTTGTGTGTGTTGTAGTATACTTGCTGGTCTATATTTTGAGGATAAGTGTGTTTTCAGTATTCAGACAAAGTATAAGGTTATCAACTGTCCAGAAATTTTTTCGTAGAAAGTTAACTACATTTTTTTTCCTATGAACTAGTTATGGGAATTAGCATGAGCAGACGTGGAATTTTTCACGTAGTCTGTAGATTGAGAGGATTTGTGCTCTATTTAGCTTTTAGAAGCATTTTTTCCCCGTTTCTCCTCCCCTCCCCATCAGCAATGTCTGGGTTCCTAGTTAAAGAGCTTTCTGAAAGATAAAGGTAAACGTACTGACAACAAAGAGGTAGAAGTTAAGCGGGAATTAACCTGTGACTGGTTTGACTGTAATCTTAGACCAAGAAATTTCTTCATGCCAAGAAACGTTGCTTCATTCCAAGAAAGCATTGTCTGGTTAGCACCTGTGTGGAAGTGCAACTTTTTCCCCATAGCCTCCATTATCATTCCAATTTCTAACTACTGTTAGGAAGGTTAGCATAGGTATTTTTGGCCCAACTGTTTCTTATTATCAATTGGATTTACTTAATATTAGCATTAAATGATGTCTAAGTTCCTGAGAGATAAGTCTATTGTTAGTCTATTTCCATTGTATCATTTATTTCAGGTTTCGTTCTATTTGTTCATCTTACAAGTTGTTGTTAGAAAATTTCTTACAGTATTTTTATCTCAATTCTGTCTTGTGCTAGATTTCAGTCATTGATGCATTGATGAGGGGTATTTTACCCAATTCAGTATTATGTGTCCATCACACAAATTAGGCTTTCTTATTTAAGGAGATGTCCCTCAGTTTGTAAGCAAAGCTATCGCTATCCTAACAAATGATTACATTAAGATGCATTTCATTGCTAACCTCTCTAAAGGAAATAGTGAGTTAGCAGCCAGCTGAAATTCAAAGTTCTACCTAAAGAGAATTATGCAGAAATTAAAGCGCTCTGGTGAGTTCTCATGTCAGAAAATCTGAAGTAATTTTTGAAATGCTGGAATTTTGACACAAATACCTTTTCACTTTAATAGCTTTGAAATTTTAAAGCAGTCGGTTTTTGATATCTAGGAAGACAACCTTAAAAAATGCCAGCGTTCATAGTATTATGTTGGAAATGGCATTTTGGTAATTTCTTTTGCCATAATAGACATCTTTTAATGTGATTTATGTTTATATTGCAGCTTTTAAAAAATTTTACTGGAGGTTCAAAATTCATGGTTGACCAGCTTTATAAAATCCTTGCATTTTTGCTTTTAAAGTTATTTTTATATCTTTCACCAAAAATATTTTTTGTATTAGGAGAAAAGGAATGAGAGGCAAATACTCTAGTTAATTTTATTTATATTATTCTTATTTTTATCTTTCATCATTGTTTTTGGAAAATTACACTGTAGTTTTACTCTATGTCTGGCAAGATATGATAAAGCTTAGCTGCTTTGAAACAGCATGCAAAAACAAGCTATTAAATTCTTTTTCTGGCGTTTTATTTTAGTACTTTCTTTTATATATACATGACTGCTGTGCCAATAAAATTTGTTTGAATTTGTAAAGTTTTCTATATTTTATCAAGTCATTAGTATATTTCAATGAGCATGTTCTTCTTGAACATGGATTTACTAAAGTGTGACATTCTGATAATAGATTTTCATTATTTGAGTGCCTCACACTTTCAAGGTTTGAAAGCTGTTTTGAAACTGGAATTATGATTAAAGGTAGCATTTTATGCTTTGTCAGAATATTAGCCTAGTTTTAAGAGTGCTTTGGCATGTAAGGTGAACATGGTGTTAACAGTTTGACACATGTTAATTAAAAATTTAAGCACAATTGTTATAGTTACTAAAGGTATTGTTGTTTGAGAAAACTTTAATGAGGTTAAAATGGCTAATGTTTTGTCTTCCATGCATTTAATAACAGTTTAGTTTTCTGTGTATGCAACACAGACCTTATTTTGACATCTCATATTCATAACAGTTGTATAGTCCGTCAAAGTACGATCAATTTAAACAGGGAGATTGTTAGCCCTGGAAGTGTTGGTAATAAATGCAGACTTAATGCAAACAGTTGTATGTATTTGAACAGAATACCTCAAAAGTGGTAAGATGGTATGGTTGTTTTCAAATGAAACATTTGTGCTGTTTACGTAACTTGTTGTAAAACATTATAAATAAGTTTCAACATATTAATATTTCACTGTATGAGTTAACTGATAATGAAAATAATCTGTGGTTCTTCATAATATAAAAAAGGGAGAAAGTACATTCAAGTATTTTCTTCAAGCTTACATTAATCTAAGATTTACATGACTGCCTAAAATCTTTTTCAGGAAGGCGGCTTCTTTGCTTGCCTCATCTGTATTTGAGCTTAACAGCTGTTTCCTGTGTCTAGGTTTACCTTGGCTCTTTACTTTTAATGTGAAATTTTATCCTCCTGACCCTTCTCAATTGACTGAAGACATCACTAGGTATGCATAGTTCATAATTTTAAATTAAAAAAAATAATGTTATATAATCAAATTAGACTTCTTTGGTTTCTGGATGCCATAGCAGGTTTGACTTTTACTATACAATGCTAAAGTTGTTCTTATGTCAACTACTCTTAGGAATGTTGATACAAAAGAGTTCTTTGGCATGGGAGAATTGTGAGATAACATAAATTTCTAAAGAGGTATTTTTTAATAAGAATGAAAGGCCAGTGTTTATTCAGGAAAAAAAGAATATAATGATAAGCAGGAATATGATCTGGGAGGAAAATAGGAGGGCGAGGTAAATGAAAATGATCATGTCTGAAGGAAATCTGTGGCTTATTTTTGGGCTACTGCTTTATTATAGAATAAGTGAGAGTATGGTTGTATTGTACCTTGCACTTTCAAGAATATAGCCTTAAGACATGGAAATAATTATCTTCTTAGATCTTACGTCATATCCACTGCCTTTTCAGTGCTTTCTAGGCACCTAAATTTTACAGAATTTTAAGACAAACAACCAGTGGATAGTTTGTTCTATTTACTAATTTTTTTCAGTAGTTAGGGAAAACATAAGCACTTGCTTTTAGTTTGGAATTAGTTAATTCTGCTGAGATATGTTATTACATATCTTGCATCTGATCAGTCTTCTGCACAAAATAAGATAGCTTTACAAATCTGTAGATACATTACTACAAGTAACTTAAGACCTTCAGTATGCAGTATATCTTAACTGTCTTGTGTTTACTTTGAAACTTTTCAGTAAGTCAGTTGGCCTTTGAATTGCATAGTCAATTGAGAAAAGAATTTTAATGATAGCTTAAAGCTAAATTCCTTAAAATTTGGGATTAACTTGTAAAAATTTTTTTAATTAAATATCTGTGCTAGGGCACAATGTCTGCTGATTGTTAAGTTGCTATATCTAAAAAAAAGATCGTCTGCAGTCCTTGAAGTTAAATTCTAGTCTGTATGTGGTTTAAGGGAGACAGTTATGAGTTCAGTATTAAAACAGATTTGTACTGTACATTACATGGTTCAATTAGCTAGTGTGAACTATGGGTATATAAAAGTTACAATTTTTAAGCCAAAGGGAAATTCAGTAGGAAATGAACAGGAAATCCATATTTGTAAACCGTAGACAGTTGTAAGTCAAGAATGTGAAATGAAGTCATTTCTAAGTCTACTTTTGTTACTAGAGATATTTTTTCATTCATTTGTACATTGGAAATCAGAATTTTTCCTGCTTTTCAGATTATTTATGAAAGTGATACTGACTCTTGAAAATTGAAGACATTACCTCATAGTAAACTGACTCTCAAATAAGACAAGGTGTAACAAATTACTAATGTACTCACTTGCTTTAAAGTGCTTCTGTGATGACATGTATCTGGAGAAATTCTGCAATATGAACTTGAGTTGGTAAATTGGTAACTTTGTTGTTTTATTTTTTTTCCTCCTTTCCTTTGTCTTGCAGATATTTCTTGTGCCTACAGCTTCGCCAAGATATTGCCTCTGGTCGACTGCCATGTTCTTTTGTGACTCACGCCCTCCTGGGTTCATATACCCTGCAGGCTGAAATGGGTGATCATGACCCAGAGGAGCATCGTAGTGACTACATCAGCGAATTTCAATTTGCACCCAATCAAACTCAAGAAATGGAGGAGAAAGTAGCTGAGTTACACAAAACACACAGGTCTATCAGATATAGTGGGACAAATGCTTTGTTGCGCTTGTGTCATTTCTCTTAAGAGTTTATGTAAAACAATTAAACTGAAGTTTATTGTTGCTCTGGAAGTCTTTTGCAATATAACTGGAGTCTCTTAATTCCAAGCATTTGAAAATCTTAACTTCACTAAGATATCAGAAGAGAATAGTTTGGAAAAACACTTTTGTCAAAGCCTATGAATTAGTTTGTTAGGAAATGTTGACCTAAAAATGTTGAAACAGTGAAATAAAAAAAAAAAAAAAAAGTATTAGAAGAATATCATATACTCTGAAAGAACAGTTTCTCATTAGGGCAAATGTGCTATTGATACCTTTATATAGAGCTCATGTTTTTCTATTCCAGTTAGTTTTGATTGTCAGTACTTTTGTCTGTGGACTCAAGGTTTGTTCAATGGTTTTAGGGGCCTGACTCCAGCACAGGCGGATTCTCAGTTCCTAGAAAATGCGAAGAGGCTCTCAATGTATGGAGTGGATTTGCATCATGCCAAGGTATTGGGGTTTGGTTGGTTTGAAGACAGCGCTTGATATTAAAGGGTGTAGCATATACAGATTACATCATTTAAAATTTGTCAGAACTTCAGTAATTACATATATGCCTTTTGTAGTAGTTCATTTATGCTTGTGAGGATGTGAGATTCTGCTGTTAGTATGCAATAGTATGGCTTATCCAAGTCTTATCAGTAAGTGCTTGGTTCTGTAGCCTCCTAAACAGACATCAAATGCCTGTAAATGGCACAGAATGCTAAGATATGTTGCCTGACAGTACTTTGATTGAAATTATTATGTTGATGTTTTCATTTACTTATCCGCTACTTCCTGTTTATTGACTGGAACAGATGGTGAATATAAGTTATCACCATCATCATCAGCTTGCTCTTAATTTCATTCACAAATTGGAAAGGTCTGTTCTTAATTTCTTTTCTTTGTATATTAAAAATTATTGAATGTACTCCTACCATACTTCTCCTAGTTGCATGTTGTTGACTCACTTCTTATCTTCAGAATATATGAGTTTCCCAGAACTGTGGCATATGCAGATAAAGTAAAGTCATTACTGAAGTTCAAAATGTTTCCTCTAAAATTGTTTTACTTAGCTGTTTCTTCCTTAAGTATCTCATTATCACTGTCTTTCAGGTTTGGATATGAAACAAAATTCTTCCTTCAAGGTTATACCAGGGATAATTATTATTTCTGGAATACTATTAACCTGATTTTTATGAAACTGTCTCATATATGTTAGGATTCTGAAGGCGTGGATATCATGCTGGGTGTATGTGCTAATGGACTGCTCATTTACAAAGACAGACTGCGAATCAACCGCTTTGCTTGGCCAAAAATTCTAAAGATTTCCTATAAGAGAAGTAATTTCTACATCAAAGTCAGGCCAGCAGAAGTAAGTAATCCCTTTCTACCTTGCTTTTTTTTTTTTTTTGTCCAATCATTTCTATCTAGCAACAAAATAACATCATTTTGCCAGGCACTCTAGCAGGTTTATGCTGGAATTGAAATTAGTTGGATTTTTCTCTTCAAATTCTATGGCTTATATTAAACACTTTTTTGGTTAATGAATGTTATCCAAGCAGAAAATCTTTTTTCTTACTAAATGCAATAGTTTTACAAATAAATCTAGTACTCGGCCCTTGTTTTCCTGTTCATAGAAACTTGCAGCCTTAAGGGAGAAGCCAGACTCGCTTCCTCTTTGGGTATAATTGTTCATTAAATGTCAGTGCTTCTAGTCTTATGAGTGTAGCCAAAGGCCTGAATTGTCCTGTAGGATGCTCGTTTTGCTAGCAGCCATGGAAATACTGAATTCAACTTTCTTTTCAGTTACCATTGTAAGTTAATGAAAGTTGATAAAGGAAGAAGGCTTATATTTTGAACACATTTTAACAGGAAATTTTTGGTAGAATCATGTTGAACTTTATGAATTTTACTCTGAAATGTTTACAGTATCTCTTATTGTGTGAATAAATAAGACAAAAGATGTTAGTGAAATTGCAGAGCTAAATAGAAAAAAGGCTTAAATTTATTCCTGAATTATTCTAGGCAAGATATGTACAAATATAAATTTGTAAAAAATTTTCAGTGGCGTGCCAACTATTTTTCCACAGTCTCATGTAAAAGCAATATTGCTACTGTCTGCTGATGTGAAATCAATTGTGTTTATAAACAGTGAGACAGGTTTTAAATATATATTTTTCAAGATGTCTTGTTTAAATTTCCATAAATTATTAGCACATGCAGTTTTATAAAGCAACTCATCATTTCCCAGAACAGTTGTTTCCTCACCTAAACTTCAGAGTAATTTCCAGATCCTGTTCTGTTGACGTATTGAAGTGCAGAACAGTATCAGTTTGAAGTCACTAAAGTATTTTAGTGTAAATAGACTTTAAATGAAGTGATGGAGCTATACTGATGGTTCTTGCATTTCACAAGGTGAAGTAATTTACTTTGAAGTCTAAATGCCAGCAATCCAATACAAACATTGTAGTTTTGTAAGTTCTGGAATACAGATGTATAAACATAGATATAATATTTTTTCTATTATTGATATGTAATGAAACAGATCAGTCAGAATGACACTACAGTATGGATTTCAGATTGGTATTAAATCCAACGAAAGCATACATCACAACCTGCAGTACAATTACTTCCTGTAGTTTAAAAGTACATTGAGCAGATTGTCAGAAAACTAGCAAGAAAAACTGAAGTATTACTAGATTTCTCAAGAGGCATTAGTACAAATAGGAAGTGATAAAGTGATCATCACCTATCGTGACTAACCCACCCAGTATAATTATATTAAAAGATTAGAAACTCTGGAGTTTTGTGTTCTTTTCTTTTGAAGTCTTATGACAGGAGAATTATTGCTTGTTACAGTAATGGAACTATGTGAATGGCCTTCTAATTAATAAACAGCTTAAGGAAATTGATTAATTTACCTGTGAATTCTTTCCAGCTGGAACAGTTTGAGAGCACTATTGGATTCAAACTGCCAAACCATCGGGCCGCTAAGAGGTTATGGAAGGTTTGTGTGGAGCACCATACTTTCTTCAGGTAATTAATAATTCTCTGTTTCCTCCAGTTTGCCAGCCAAACTCATATATGTCTTTGAAAGAATATGAGAAAAATAGAGAAGATTTCTCCCCTCTTTTACCTTATTTTCTCCATCAATTGGCACTCTTTAGACAGAAGACATCCTACTGGTCATTGACCACAAATTACCAGTTTCAAAAAGATTTCAGGTACAATTGACTGTCATTTAAACTTGCAGCATGCTAACAGTATGGAACTAAACTAGTAATCATACATTGTGCTAGCTGAAAGATTGACATTTCAAAATGAGAGTCTAGAAAGTTGATACATGTCTTCAAAAGAAGCTCTGAGTGTTTGACAGTAAACTTCTGAATCTGGATTCTTGCTTGTTTATAAAATAGGCTGAGTTCACAGTCATTCTTTAAAGTAAGTAGAGTTACTTCAACAAAAAGAGTGGTATTTGTTTACATAACAAACTTCTGGTTTATTTTTTTTTCAGTAACTAGTGAATATAAAATTCTGAATTGATCATTGAAACTTTAGACTATTTGTAAATGACCACTTTAACAATAGAGTTGTTTCTCTTTCTGTTTTCACCATTGAAAAGTAATTTGATTTTTTTAATAGCACAACCTCCATGAGGGAGTGCAGCTACTCTTCTAACCCAGGAGTCGTAGAATCATGGAATTGTAGAATGATAGAATGACTTGGGTTGAAGGGACCTCAAGGATATGAAGTTCCAACCCCCCTACCACAGGCAGGGCTGCTGACCTCCCCATTTAATAGTAGACCAGGCTGCCCAGAGTCCCGTCCAACCTGGCCTTGAACACCTCCAGGGATGGGGCAGCCATAACTTCTCTGGGCAGCCTGTTCCAGCGCCTCTTGGTAAAGAACTTCCCCAATATACAACCCAAATCTTCCCTCCCTTCCCTTAAAACTATTTCCCCTTGTCCTGCCATTATCTTTCCTTCTAAAGAGTGGGCTCCCCTCCTGTTTGTAGTCTCCCTTTAGCTACTTGGAATGCTGCAATTAGGTCACCCTGCAGCCTTCTTTTCTCCAGGCTGAACAAGCCCATCTCCCTCAGCCTGTCTTAATAGGAGAGGTGCTCCAGCCCTCTGAACATTTAGTGGTCCTCCTCTGCACCTTCTCTAATAGTTCCCTGTCTTTCTTGTACTGGGGGCCCCAGACCTGGACACAGTACTCCAGATGGGGCCTCACGAGGGCAGAGTAGAGAGGGACAATCATCTCCCTGTCCCTGCTGGCCACCCCTCTTCTGATGCAGCCCAGGATACCATTTGCTTTCCAAGCTGCAAGAGCATACTGCTGGCTCATGTTCAGTTTTTCATCCACCAGGATTCTCAGGTCCTTCTCTGCAGGGCTACTCTCAAGGATTGCTCTTCTCAGTCTATATATAGGATTAGGTTGAACCTCTTATGCATTAAATAGGCATTGTACCTTGAATCATAGCTTCTCACGGTACCATGGGTAAGCTTTTTCTTTCAATAGCCTGTTTCTTACTTAAAAAAAATATATATATATATATATATATTTTAATATGCTTTCAATCCTGTCACTGCATGCTTGGTATTAACTAAACACACGCTAAACAGAGGACCTGAGGAGCATGACACCTAAGCAATTCATTAGTAGAACTGTCTCACTGGGCAGTTTTCAGTATTCAGATTTTCACTGAATCCAGAATGTACTTGAATTGAATTGAATGTACGTGTGACATTTATGTATATATTGAGAATGACAATTTAAGTCCTTACTTTAGAAACAATAATTTCAAAATACTTGTTTTTTTCGTGCTTGATAGAATTCATTAGGTAAGTTTATTAAGATTAATAGCCCACTATTGTTTACTTCAAAAATTTGAAGTCTCGTTTGGTTTGTCTGTTACTCCTAGTGGTATGCAGATCTTTTCTGGAATAGCAAGAACAAAAGTGCTCTTCAGATAATTCATGTAGTGTTTTGCTCTGGCAAGAAAACTGCATTTCCTAATTTTACAGTAATAAAACAGATGTAAATGGAGAAGAGAAAAATCTTATGGAAGTAAAAAGTCCTGAACTGAGAACTACCATTTGCAAATAGAAAAATTATCAGAAGCATTAATATGTATTAGATAATCTCACTACAGAAATTCTGACATAATAAAATCAATTGGATTTCATTCCAATCAGAAATGAATTTTTCTAATCAGGAATGACATGATGACAAGAATTATGTAACAAATACTTTAACCATTCTGTAAAATCCATATTCTCCACTGATGTCATCAGACTCAAAATCCTCAGAGCCTCTCATCCTAATTTAAAAGCAGTAAAATAAATCCAGCTCTGTTTGTCTCTGAAGATAAACAACAGAAGCAATCCCTGCAGTGCAAGACACTATAGCTTTTTCATAGCATGTATATTGCTTGTGTATACCTCAGTAAATTGCATTAAATCTAGATGTACATTTTTAGCTTTCAGATCTCTCAGCATGCCCTATGTGACGTAGAAAATTCCTTACAGTACTTGACTTCGTGATGTTTCAGTTTTTCTCGAATAGTAATTACATTAAAATCTATTTTCTTATAAAATATGAGAAATTAATTTAGCATATGAATTTGTTTATATACATTTATCATGAACTGTGTTGAAAATTACAAATAAAAGCCACTGGATTTACTTGTGTCAACTCGGCCTTATAGGATTTCAGTAACATTTTCACAGGTCAAGAGCCTGCTTTAAGAAAAATAGTTAGACTGTATAGCAACATTAATCTTCTGAAGTAAGCTTGGTCTGCAGCTCTAGATCCTAACTAAAATGAGCTTATAGTTCTGTATTATGGAGTTTTATTTGAAGTTTTGAAGATTGTTTTAGTGTTTTCCCAGTGTGTCTTAAAACGGTGCAAACATAGTGTTCAGTTATCTTATGTAATTAAACTTGTAATACAAAAAATACATTTAAATGTCCTTAAATGGGAAGTAATTAGTTCTCTTGTTTTTTCCATGTTAAAAGATTAAAAGTTTATCTCAGCAGGGTGGAACATAACAAATGGCAGTTAATGCTGTATGCTTGCCAAGACTAGGAAATCCAGAACAGAAAGGAACTTGGAAAAACACTCTAGCCTGCTTCCTCTTAATGAATAACGTACTCTTGAAAATGATGTGGAGAAGTAAATCTGTCACAAATATTGCTTCAGGATGTTTTTATAGAAGCAATGAAAGTAAAGTTCCAGATACATGGCCTTAGTGCAGAAGAGTGGATTGTTATGAGAATTGCTTTCTTTAAAAATATATTGTGATGCATTAGGATTCAGATGCATGTTATGCATATTAGGCATGCAGGATTGGATCTTTATGGCTAGCATTCTGATGAAGCCCTAAACTTCTCTTAGAGAAAATGTTAGCATTTTTCCTCTCTCACCATTGGTTTTGCAAAGTATCTGAAAACTACTCAGTGTTGAAATATCTTCAGAATAATTTTAAATTTTCAGAACCCAATATTGGAAACTGTCTTAAAAATACTGGATCTGATTCCACTTACATAGATATTCCCTGTGCATGTGCTTCAAAAATGTCGAACAAAACCAGCATCCATTGTCTTACTTGTCCGTTTGTGCCATTGTAAGTGCAATAGATATAGTAGTTGTTGGTTCTTCTTGAAAAAAGATGATGTTCAGAGGGAGAATAGGGCATGGAAACTCCCATGCAGAGTGTGTGTATTTGCAGTACCACGTTGTTTCAGAAGGCAACATCAAAAACTTTTCTAGAGAAGCAGAAACTAGGAAGAATTCTTACAGTGATGACTATTGATCCTATCACTAAGGATGTTACTGTAAGAAATAGTACCCTCTGTGCTGAAGCTGATGACTCAGATTATGAAAACAGAAAGTATAAGCAGTGAGAAGATACAAGTAGGAAAGGGGAAACAACCCCCATTTTCAAGAAGGGAGAAAAAAGAAGATCCAGGGAATTACAGGCCAGACAGTCTCACCTCTGTGCCTGGCAAGATCATGGAGCAGATCATCCTGAGAACCTTACCAAGACATATGGAAAATAAAAATGATGTGATTGATGGCTAACCAACATGGCTTCACCAAGGTCAAATTGTGCCTGACAAACTTGGTGGCTTTATATCATAGAGTTACAGCATCAGTGAATAAAGGAAGAGCAGATGACGTCATCTACCTGGACTTGTGCAAACTGTTTGATGTTGTCCTGCACTACATCTTGGTTGCCAAAGTGGAAAAGCATGGATTTGATGGATAGACCACTTGCTGGTTAAGGAATTGACTGGTTGGTTGCTTACAGTCAGGGAGTTGTAGTCAACAGCTCAATGTCCAAGAGGAGACTAATGACAAGAGGCAATCCTTGGGGATCAGTGCCGGGACTGGTGCTGTTTAACTGTGCTGTCTTTGTAGGTGACATGGACAGTGGGATTGAGTGCAACCTCAGCAAGTTTGCAGATGACACCAAGCTGAGCGGTGCAGTTGACACACTACAGGGAAGGGGTGCTATCTAGAGGGATCTGGACAGGCTTGAAAGGTGGGATCATGCCAACCTCATGAAGTTAAACAAGGCCAAGTGCAAGGTCCTGCATCTGGGTCAGGGCAATCCCAAGTGCAAATACAGGCTGGGTGGAGAATAGCTTGAGAACAGCCCTGAGAAGAAGAATTTGAGAGTGTCAGTTGATGAAAGACTCAACATGAACCAGTAGTATGCACTTGCAGCTCAGAAGTCCAACTGTACCCTGGGTTGCATCAAGAGAACTGTGACCAGCAGGTTGAATGATTCTGCCCCTCTGCTCTGCTTACGTGAGACCCCGTGTAGAGTACTGCATTCAGTTCTGGGGCACCCAACTCAGGAAAGACATCATGCTCTTAGTGTGGGTCCAGAGGGAGGGCCATGAAGATGATCAGAGGGCTGGAACTCCTCCACTACAGGAACAGGCTAAGAGAGTTGGGGCTGTTCAGCCTGGAGAAGACTAGGCTGCAAGGTGGATCTTATAGTGGCTTTCCAGTACCCAAATGGGGCCTACAGGAAAGCTAGGGAGGGGCTTTTTATAAGAGCATGTAGCAATAGGATGAGGGCGAATTGCTTTAAACTGGATGAAGGTATGTTTAGATTAGATATTAGGAAGAAATTCTTTACTGTGGGGATGGTGAGACAGTGGAGCATGTTGCCCAGAGAGATTGTGAATGCTTCTTCCCTGGAAGCATTCAAGGCCAGGCTGGATGGGGCTTTGAGCAACCTGGTCTAGTTCGGGGGCTGTCCCTGCCTGTAGTAAGGGGGTTGGAACTAGGTGATCTTAAAGCTCCCTTCCAACCCATACTGTTATAGGTATGATAGGTTCAATAAGAGCTTGAAGTTTTCATAAGGAAATTAGAGAACTTGACATTTATCAAATACCTTGCAGCAAGGTCTGCCAAAATGTTAGCTAGGACTTTCTCTAACACTGAACTCTTCAGTGCGAACATGCATATCCAGCACAGAACCCAGCATTGGTACTACTCATAACTCAATCTTTTTTACCCTTTTCACTGTAAGCCTTTTTTCCCCATTCTTCTTGTATCCAGCATCAACTATATCTATAAGCCACATTGTAACTAAAATGGCATCTGAATCTAGCTAGTTAAACTTTTTAAAGGTGAATGACAATTCTACAGTCATCTTGATTTTATTTTTTTTTCCACTTGCTACAGCCTTCTACACAGCTTTGAAATACCATTCCCTAAATTTAAGGAACAGCAGCTGCCTTATGGGTACCTCAGAATATAAGAAAGACAGTGAAAGTGGGTTGTATAGTTTCCCCTATAAGTAATATTCAAACGAGCAAGATTAGAGACGTCTTCTATATGGATGTACAATGGCCTCAACTATCCAGAAACAATAACATTTAATAAAGATAGCACCAAAAGATAAGGACCCCAGATGCTTATTTGTACTGTGGAAAATGTGTTAATTAACAGCATCACTTCAGTTCCAAATGCAAATAATAAATAGTATGTATTGTGTTAGTTCATCTCAGATCTTATGGTAGAATCCTTTCTTGGACTGCACAAATCATGCCTGGTGAACTAAAGTTGCAATATAATAAGTAGCATTAGAAGTACCTGATTAAATACATAAAGTGTTTTTAAGTGTCTGTCTTTTTACTTTTTAGACTTTTATCACCAGAACAGCCTCCAAAATCAAAGTTTCTAACCTTGGGTTCCAAGTTCCGCTACAGCGGGCGTACGCAAGCACAGACACGACAGGCTAGCAACCTCATAGACAGACCGGCTCCTTACTTTGAGCGCTCTTCAAGCAAACGTGTTTCCAGAAGCCTTGATGGTGGTACGAAATTGATGTATTTATTCAGTACAATGATTGTGTTACGTATGGTCACCCTGATATGAGTTCATATTGAGAGACCTTGGAGATACTCAGAATTCAACTGGACAAGTCCCTGAGCAACCTGGACTCACTCTGAACAGGTGGTCCAACTAACTAATCTCAAGATATTCCTTCCTAAATTATTTTGTGATATGTCAGAAATTACGACAAGAGTGTTTTGCTGTTCACATCACTGCAATAAGAATCATAGACTTCGTACACAGCAAAAAGCTGAAAAATAATGTCACTCAGTAACAGGCCTGTAATCCTCTTTGTTGATATTACTATAAAATCATTTTATGAAGTCTTAAAAATAAAATGTTCTACTTACTCCAATTAACCAAAATTATTTTGTTCTTTAACAGCTCCCATGAGTATCTCAGACCAAAGTCTAAGAGACTTCCATACTACGAGAGGGCAGCCTGGAGGAGACAAAATCATTGACCTTGAAGCTGCTGGACAAGCCAAGTTGAAAGAAGGTGGCAGAGAAGATGATGGAAGCCCACTCAAAACTCCACAATTAGAGTTGATTCAGGATGGAAAGGTATGGATGTCTTTCACACCAAAATTATTTGTTCATATAGTGCATGTTTGCTTATTTAAAGCCCACCACCTCTGAGCATCATACGGAACACCATATTAAATATTTAAAGAAAATTGTCAAGTATTTTCTGTAGTTTATCTGACTGTAAGCGTATGCAAAGGAAAGTGAAGGTAAACTTGTGTTTAACATCAATTTTCCCAGGGTTTCTTTTATTTCTATAAAGTTAATTTGGATTTTCAGTGAACTTGAGTGAATTTTGGAAAAGTATTTAAAAGGGTAAATAGTATTTTAATTTCTTAGTTTACGTAGACTTATTTGTTCTATTGTAGTATATGTTATACAAAGCCAGATGTATTATGACTGCATTCAAATATTTATAGGTAAAAATAGTATTGTTTTAGTAGTAATTTAGCAGAATTATTTATTCATTTAAAAACTTCTGTGTTGAACTGAGATACAGATTTCTGTGGAAATTTTTGTTGACTTCTGTTTCTTTCTCTGGAGAACAACCACTTATTTGTTTGTTGAAGTTATTGGTGAAATAGGTAAAAAAAATTCAGAGTTTGCAGGATTTTGTATAAAAATTTCCTTCCACAGTTTTGACTAAAACTTTGGAGTTGTGTGATTATTATCTCTCTCTGGGATGTTACTTATTTTTCTATCAGTTCTTCAGAACTTACTTTTGTTTCCAAAAGTTTTTTGCCAGTTAGCTACCCATTTGAATCTTAGTGGTTTGGACTGCAGAGATTCTCTGTGCAGCTGACATGTTCCCACTGCACTGAAGTATAGGAAGGGAACAAATACCAATGTTTTTTGTTGCTCTTCTCTGACTACTTGAAAGCATTTTTAAATTAGCCTAGGAAAAGGCACACGTGAACTCCATTGGTGGGAGAAAAATAGTTAAATTACTATGTTTTGACTTTAGGCTTGATAAAATGATGATTCTGCCTTGTTTCTGAAGTGGTAGTATCTTTCAGTCTTTTAATCAAGAGAAGAAAAAAAGCAGCATTTTGGGAAGTTTTTCCATGAAGCTGATTAGTAAGGTTTTGTTGCACATACCAACTCTGTGAACAGCTCTTTTTTCCCCCCTAAAGCACTCTTTAAATCTTAGAGGAAACGGTTATAAACCCAAGAATCAAAGTGCTAGCTTGTCTTTCGTGTACTGCACTGTCCCCTGACCTTTCTGCCAAAGCTTTGAATGTCTGTCTGCTTCCATCTGATGCAAGTGACTACTGCAGTTCAAAAGTGCACAATTCTTAGCAGCTGGAGAACAGAACATTCGTAATGGTTTTGATTTCATAATCCACAGAAGTAAACAAGCTGGCTGCTTGTAAAACACAAGGGATTTCGATTTTTATTTGGCGTTTCTATTGCGTTAATAGAGCTATCCCTAAATAAAAAATTTCACTAACAAATAATTTCTTTCTTTCTCCCTCTTTTTGTACCTACAAACTTGCATTTTGTTGTGCTTTCATTTTCCACTGTGCATAGAATTTATTTCTTCAGCTCACTCACATACACCCGCCATCACTACCCATTCATTCTGCATCATCATATCTCACAAATTTGTCACCTATCCCTGAGATGGACATGCTTTCAGATATTTCAGAGGAAGATCCTCTCTGTGAGCCTGTCCTTGCCATTCCAGATGTCTTGGAATTTAATTCTATGAGAGAAATTCCAGATCATAAAGAAAATAAAATAGCTTCACCGATCAGTAACTTTGAATCTATGAGAGCCCTAGCTAGTCAAGGCCCTCCTGCCACAGAGGGAAAAATCTGTAGAAATGAATACAAAAATACTGAATTGTGTGTCTCATTCAGCTTTGTCAGATGCTTTTCTTTTTGTTTCCGATCGCTGCTTGATGAAGATGGTTATATTAGTTTTCCTAGCCTTCCTGATGTTTGCATCTCTTTCCTCCCACCTGGTCTTCAGCACTATGTTCCTATCACCTCTCCTTCCTTCATCCCCTCTTTTCTCCTTATCTTTGTGCTGCTTCTCTCAGCTTTCCAGTCTATTCCTCTTTCACTCACATTTTCCCTTCCTCTCGCTCTGTCCCTCTGCTACCTGGAGCCTAAAGCGACTTCATTTAGTGCCTCTTATGACAATGACCTGAATGACAAAGCAGAGGAAGAGGAGGTGTGTAATTCTGTTGCTTAAATGTTGACTCAATGTATAGCCGTTATGCCAGTTCTCCCAGAGGCTTCCTTTTTGCATACTGGCAGGGATATGTGTATGTATCTTTCTAACTTTTTCTGTTTTTGAAAAACTGCCATTTGGGAATCTTTAGTCAATAGGTGGGTTTTTTTTGCTTTTGGTTTTTTGGGGGAGGTTGGTTGATTTTTGCCTGAATTCATGCAGCATGCATAATTTTATGATCTTCCACTCTACTAAGGTAGAGTTGCTTTGTAGTTCAAAATCTTTAGAAACAGAAAAAAACTGAAAACTGTTGTGAAATAACATACCTAATATTATTATTTCCTGGTAATAATTGCAATTTGTCTTACTTGCACTGTCAGTTTGTGTGTTAAAATGCATAGCTCAGTGCATTCACTTTGCAGTGCACATCTCAGAAGTTCTGTGAAGATCTGAAAAGTGAAATTCCTAAATGCTGAATTCAAAAACGATTGTGATTTCTTTAAAAGTAGCTTTTGCTATTATAGATTTTCAGATCTTCTACAAAGATAAGTTCAAAATTGAGTCTGAAATATTTTTTTTTCTGAAGTGCTTTCATTAATTGTTAGCAGTAGTTAAGGCAAAGACTGATTTGATTCCTTAGCTGAGATTTCAGGTTTTGTCAGACTTTACTTACTGAACTCTGAACTCTTTGAAATACATTATTATAATTGCTATACAGAAGTCTCTTTCACATCAATATGTTGCTCTGATCATCTGGAGTGGCTGACAGAATGCCTCCTTTACTGTGCATGTTAGAGCAACAACACCATGCACTAGAGAAAGGTGGTTTATTTTGATCCTCAAAGTAAATATAAAGCAATATAATGGAATCAAAAGTGGGGAAGAGGGTCTGTTCAATGTTATGTTTAATAAACTTGCTTATACCAATTTAATCAATAGATACAGTATATATTAAAAACGTGCTAAATAGGACACACAACTCTAGTTTAATAAAGAAAAAAATCACTTTAAAGATTTTCTTATTTTTTTCAGTGGCCTAAAGCAATCCATGATAAAATAAAGTTTCAGACAGAATCATAGATAAGTGAGAAATGAACAATAATGTGATATGTACCACATCATATGTGCGTTCACACAATCTAAAATGCAACAGTACATGCAATAAGTAAACCACTCTTCAGATGTGCATGTTTGCACACACTGACTTCTCAAGATGGTTGGTATTTGTACCTGTGGCAAGGCTGAGATGAGAGGTGTGGTTTGCTTTTTAAAAGATGCCTTTCCTTAGACCATTCAGAATATTTGTGAGTAAGATGTGAAAATCACTTCCAGCAGAGTGCATTGCAGTTTGAGGAAGAATATATTCATCTAAAAAGGAAGTTGAAACTCTCAAAACATCAAAACGTCAAACATCTCATAACAACAAAATTCCTAGAATAATTAAGACAAATTCTAAGTATGTTATTTAGGTGTTTAACTTGAGTTCTAGACTGTTTTACCAAAAATAAGTCATGCGTTATATTCCGTTTTCCCATCAAGTCACTGCAGGGCTTAAGGTTTTTATCATAGAAATTATACATACCATCTTTTTCTGTCATTCATTTTTTAATATCCATCTGAGATAACTCTGAGAAGCAAGTGGGACATAGTGTGAAATTTTCATTTTTTCATGCCACATACCAAGTATTACTTCAGCCATTCTACAGCAATGTAGGTGAAGGAAGACCAAAGTCGCTAATAATTTCAACAACATCTGGGGCCGAAACAGTAAAGGTCTGTAAATTACAGCACGCTTTGCAGCATTTACAAAGAGATGATGCCTCTGTTATTCTGTAAACGTGTGTTAATGGTTCCTTTTCTTGATAATTCACAATGTGCTTACGTAGATGGAATCTGAAGAGGAGGAAACGCAAAAGAAGGTGCATAGGTTTTGTTTGGGTTTTTATTTTTACTGTTAAATCTGGCTGCAGTTGCCTGATTTTTTTTTTTTTGTTAGGACCTTTAAGTTTCTATGCGTTTTTGTCTGAATAGTGCCTTTTCAACATATCATTTTATTTCCTGTATTTGACTGTCTTTTACCAAAGAGTTTTTTTTTTGTTTTGTTTTGTTTGTTTGTTTGTTTTTTACAAAACAGAAAAACTTGCTGGTACATGTTATGTTAATTTTGATATTTTTTTTGTGTATGTGTGACTTAATTTCACAGAGCAATTCGTTGAGAGTAGACGGGGAAAATATTTATGTCAGACATAGCAATTTAATGTTGGAGGTTTGTATATAATACGAGAAACACTTTCTTTTCTCATGGGCTGCCAGGCTGCATGGGATGGGAGGTCACCTGCAGGCTGTTATGTACACAGTGCATGAAGTGCATGGGGAAAAACAGCTTGGAAATGTTGCATGTTATACTTCTAGTTTCTGAGTTTTTAGAAGTTTTAGAAAAGAAAAGAAAACCCTTAGCTTTAATGTTTAATGTGCATTTTTGCTGGATGTTTTCAAGGTGGCAAGTGGGAATAATAGCCCTATTTAGATATATGCAACACATTAGGCTGATTCATCAACATAAATAGGATTTTTTTTATACGTTACTACCTAAAGCGTGGATTTGCTTTGTTGAGTAGAGTTTCCAATTTTCACCAGTTAGATCAACTTTTTTCAAAGTGTAACCTGAATTAATGGAGCTAGTAAGGCACAAGTAGTGGTGTAGGATATACAAAAACTAATTCTGGCTTTGACAGGTATTTTTGGAGCTTTGAGAAATGTAGGTAAGTATCAGATTTTTAAAGTGAGTGCTTACAAATGCTTATGAAATTTTTGTTTTACCTTTTCATTTTTCAAATGGAAGCAATCTTGCTCCCTGAAGGTTGACTCTCATTGATAATGAGCAACAACAAAGAGCTTTGAACAGTATTTTACTGTGTAGTGCTATTATTAGACACTGAAAAGGAGATTTTTATTTTATTGTAAGGGTTTCCATGTAGTCTGTAGATGTGTATTGATCTGTAGTTAAAATCAGCATCATTTAACACTGTCATTAATAACATAAGCTAGTAACTGAAGAAAATCCAGAAAATCCTACTGTTGTCTTTAACTTATTCATCCAAATGGGGCTATAATTAATTCCTTTTGTCACAAAAACTGTCTTTTTAAAAATAATTGGTTTTGTTAGTTAATAAGGTGGTATGTGGATCACAGTAACATAACTAATACTTTTTTTGGCTTTTCGCAGCTTTTGGTCACTATTTAAACTTTGCTTTTGTAACTTACTAAAGCACTGAAAGCATACACTGCGTAACTTTGCTGTGATCAAGTCTAGGAAACATGCCTTGTGTCAAGCAAAGACAGTTTTTAAAATCATGACATGAGTATTGTCACTAACTTCATTTGTGTAGTGGAATGCCCTTGGTATAATGTTTCAGTGTTTCAATCTCTCTGAAAATAAACACGTAAGGAGAACATATTTAATACCCCCTGGTTATTTGTCCTAGATGAAAAGTGAGGCATTGGTCCTGTAAAAATATTAACCTACTGCATTACTAAAAAAGGGAAAGGTTCTTAGTGTTCAAAGTGTCTATCTGAAGAATTGGAGAATAAAGAAATAGATTTGCAGCACCGTTGATGCTGAACATACAAGTGAAAAGACATCAGAAATGTAAGAGTTTGTATTGGGTTTTGTATTTTATATTACTTGACAAGTTTTTTGATACAAATTGCTGTATCTGAGACTCAGTGATTCATAATAAAATGTAATTTGATATTGACACTGGTGCCCCCTTTGATGCTTGCCTGTGAAGATCCAGTTTAGACAAGAAGCTCTCATGGGTTTTGTGCTTATCAATATATGTACTTGGCAGTTGTATCCACAGTCAGGTTGTTAAATGTGGAGAAGACTGATGATAGTCTTTAAGTCCTTACATCTGATTCTTCCAGTACATTTAAGCCTACACAATAGGCACAATGAGTAGTCCTTCTAAAGTGAATGATGCAGGTGCTAGTTGCTTGCATACTTGGCCCTGTGTTACCATGTTCACAGAAATATATGTCTTGCATGAAGCTGGCAATCCCCAAATTTTTCCTTCTCTGCTTAGAAATTTCAGATGAGAGTAAGTAATCACTAGCAATTGTTTCGAAGGGCGAGTAGTTTCTTAATATGGATGAAAATGGCTCTGTTAGATAACTGTGCACAGCATTATCTTTTCATTGCATTAAAATGTGGTAGCGTTGTAGTATATTAGTCACCAAAAAATTAACTTTGTTCCATTATGGCCTTGAATTTTTAAGGCATTCCAAAGAGCAGCTCTTCAGACACAAGGCACTTTCCTTGGTTTGATTCTTTTTTATTTTTTTTTGTAACTGTTAAGTTTGCTTTTGTTGTCGTGTTTTGTCCTACTTTGTTTCACGTTGCGGGTTGCTAGGACCTGGATAAGACTCAGGACGACTTACTGAAACACCAGGCTAGCATTAGTGAGCTCAAGCGCAATTTCATGGAATCCACACCTGAACCACGCCCCAATGAGTGGGAAAAGCGGCGTATCACACCTCTGTCCCTACAGACACAAGGGGTACGTCTTGTAGACACTTGTCCGCATGCATTTCCATACAACCCCGTAGACAATGTAGTAAATGCCCTTTGTGCTTTACACTAATTCGTCCAGCTAATGTAATATTTGTTTATACTATGTACGCATTAACTTTTTACTGCTTATCATTGGACGTGGCTTTAAATAATGTGTGGAATTTTGTTCCACAACAACTGGACTCAAGTCAGTAGACGAAGCTGGAAGCAATGGCAGTATTTTGTTTGTGTTAACGGCAGCTTAAACTCCCCTCTGAGAGATATAAAGAGTTAATTTTTCAGTGACAGAAGTTTTTACTCTGTGTGCCTTTTGACTCTTCCTAGGCAGCCTTTGCAGAAACAGCTCTGACCTGTGTTGTTTGCAAAGGACCTTATGTGATTGGTTAATTTATGTTGTTGGCTTTTTTGATGCATATTTACTGTGGTCGTTAAAATTTATTCACCTTAGGCTCCACATGTATATAAAAATGAATTTACCTGCTTTTTCACTAAACATTCTTTCTGACCAAACATTAAAACAGCAGTTTGGAAAGTGATTTTCCAAAAATAATATCCTAATTATTTGTGGCAGAGAACCTGCCTAGTCAAATTTCTGTCTGCTCTTGAACCTCTAAATTTGAGGAGTTAATTGCTGCTGCTTTTATGGAGTAGAACAGCCAATCAGTCCTCAGAAACAATCAGTATATCCTCTGTCTTTCCCTATTATTTCTACCACTCCCCAGTGCAGGGAAATTACTCCTCTAATTTCTGAGTACTGCGCTAGAATCTCTGCATAGTGATACATGCACAGGTACAAATTTACAAAAGTCTGACACATTGAAGCTATAAATATCTATTTGGTTAAAATAGGCATTTATGTAAAAGTATAACTTAATTTTTATGTGCTTGTGTGCATTTTTTATGTTGACTTCTTCATGTTGAAGCTAAGGCCCTTCCAAGTATTGTTCGTTTCTCTTTTGTTGTTGTTGTTGTTGTTCATTTAGTATGTTCTGTTATTTTCAGATGGTTTGGTTATATGTTTATGAATAGTATGTATCTGTCTCATTGCTTGTTGATTTACACTGGTTTTACAAAATGAAAACTAAATAGAAAAAAGGAGACCACATTTTCCAAGTGAAAACGCTGCCTGGAAAGGAGAAGCAATGGACTGCAATGCCATCAATTTCTGGAACAAAACCAGAGGAAACTGATAAGGTGGCTGCCCTGAAATCTACTGCCTTTTTGCTGTATCTGCTGTGGGCTGGCTTGGGCACTTCCTTCTTTTTCTTTCCCCTCCCTCTCCCCGCTACCACTGCTGCAAAGAGAAGTTTGAGTTTCAAACCAAGATCTGTATATATGAATGCCAGCAACATTCTGCTTAAGCACTAAGCTGAATATGAAATTGAGTGGTTCCACTGGAAAATTACTGTATTTTATGTGATTTGGATGACAGCAAAACATGTATTTCCATTCTAGGTGGAAATAATTGCTTGCTGCTTGCAGTTATTGTGTAAAGTGTTACATATCTTTTATTTTGTGTATTTACTATGTAATCGTTTCTCAAATCAGTAATGCTAGAAATGCAGTCACGTTCTGAGTATCTCCATGCTTCAGTACTTTTTGTTAATCCAGGAAAAGGGAGAATTTTTTCTTTCTCCTAAGCTGATTAACATCTATGCAGTGAAAAGCGCTATATAATAAGTGGGACTGCTAGCAGTATGATAGTGATGATGGAGGTGGCAATTGAGATGTTGGCTTCTTTACATTACTTTTGGACTGTTTTCCACCACCTAGGAAATGAGATGAAAACAGATTGTAAAGCTGTCAGTCCTATTTAAGTAACACATATAAATACCAGGATTGGGATAAAGCATATTTTCATCCCAAATTATTTGTTGATGTTAGTAGTTAGAATTCAAGCTCTTTGTTACCTCTAAATTTAAACTTCCTACGGTTAGTACACATTGCTCAGTCTTATTCCTGAAAGATACGTTTTCCTGCCTATCTTTTAGGATAGTTGGATAATAGTTGAGAATAAAACAAGGATATCACTGCTAATATTCTTCCTTTTCTTCCTTCTTTTGCAAAATAATTGCGTATAAGAAATGTTGCATTGGATATATCTCATTTGTATCCCTGTACTCACACAAATGCACAGCATCTGTGACTTAATTATAATAGAAATTGTGGTGCAATTATATGTGTCATACATACACACACACACACACAAAATAGTATTATCATGTTATGGTTATCCAGAATCATTACTCTGGTTGTTTGTTTGTTTGTTTTTAAACCTCTCTTACTTCCAAACAGCATCAGTGTATGTGTCTGTGTGCTAGAAGATTGATTGCCAGGAAATTAGGCATCTTCAGAGACTGATGCATTGTTGTAAATACAGTAGTTGGTTCAAGAGTGCCAGTTCTATCCATACATCTGGTTACTTGTACCAAAGGCCTCCTCAGGGAGCAAGGGTTACATTGTGAAGCAAATTGTGCTAATGGAGTTTTCTTTTTAAAATATTAGAAGGCCAAAAATCGTTAACATTGTTTGCCTTTTTATCCAAGCCACTAATAAATTAACATTCATTGGATACAGTGAATAAGAGAAAGAAAGTGATGGTGAGGAATACATTGCCCTGATGAATATCAAACATTATATGAAGGTAGATGTAATCAACTTGCATTTTCTTAAAATTTTCTTGGACACTTTTGGGATATAATTCAAATCTTAGTGTAGGGAAAAAAAAATAGTTCTTTTTCCTTTTCTGTTCTTCTGCATGCCAAACGTACAGCACTATATGCATGGTAGCATGGTGTAACATAAGTGTTCAGATTCTGTGTTGCCAGTGCACAGTAAGCCCACTCAAACAGCAGTTATCTGCATGGCGTTTTGACTTTCCTCTGGCATGTGCTTCTGCCCTATTACCTGGCAAAGTGTATGTTATGTCCACGTTAGGTATCTGGTACGCTACTGCCTTTTTATTTTTAACTGTTCATACTTGTAATGTAATATAAGAGCTTATGAAAGTAAAGCTGAACTTTGCTTTTTCAGAAGCTTGTACACACAAGATTTTTAAAAGCTTGTTTTACCATATGGCTTTGTAGTAGTACCAAAAACAGATCAGGCTATAAGCAACTTAGGCTTTAAACCTTGTAAGCTTCTATGTACGTTTGAGTAAAACAGATTTTACCAATACAGTGGGAAAGTTTTTGAAAACAGATTCTTTAGCAAATGCAAATTTACTCATTTTAAGTAATTTAAAAAACAACCTTTATGAGTAAATTCTTTTTAGCTTTGTGAGAATGTATTGTTTGAAGCAAATGTATGTGGCTGCCTGAAGCTATGAAACATAGAAATTACACAGTACTCAGAATAGACTTTTAAGAAAGAAAAATCCCGATAGTAATAGTAGTACTTCAGTTAAAAACTATTTTGTTGGGAAATCCATGGAAATATTTAATGCTTTTAATTTTTACAGCGTGAAGTAAAGAGCCGAAGTATATGCTTTATGGGCACAGAGCATTAGATCGCTGCTGAGCACTGATTACGGCAACGTTCTGTCGCGTTCCTCTTTCTCGCCTTCCCTGACGCACACGAGGTGTCCCCTGAGCTCGTACAGAACGCTCCGGATCAAACGCTTGTCTTGTCCTGTTTTCTCTCTTGCCGACCCTTTCCTTTGTAGGCTGCTGCCGCTTTGTCCGTCGCCGTCTAATTCTTTCCTTTCCCTTCTCTAACTCATCTAGAGCCTAGAAGAAGAGATAGCGTCCATTTTATTTAGCCAAGAGCGCTTTGGCGCCGGCCCGGACCGGCCCTTCGCTGCCGCCCGCGCGGGGCCAGCAGAGGGCGCTGCGGGGGAGCCGACCGCCGCCGCGGCCCCGCCGCCCCAGGTGCTTCCCCGCCCCGCCCTGCCCGCGGCCGCTGCCCTGCGCCCAGACGGCCGAGAGGGTGCTGCGGCTGTGACGTGCTGCTAGAGCCGGCTGGCTGCTTTGGGTGGTGGGAGGGAGTCGGTCAAAGAGCTTAGTTACATACTTGCTAGGCAACGGGAGTCGTAACTGGCTGCTGTTGCAGCATCGCCAGGAGTGCTGGCCTGCACTCTGTTAAGTGCTTTTCTTGGTTAGCAGCCATAAATGTTAGGATTAAGTCACAGATGATGTGTTGGTTTTGTATTGTTGCTGCTGGAATTCGAACAGGTTTTCCAGAGATAATTAGATAAAAAGTATGTAGTACATAGTGTTTAGTGGGCTATGGGGCATATCTATCACAATTCATTTTGTTGCAAAACAAATACTAACGTAGTTGCCTTAATCTCATCATTTGGGACTCAAGCTAAATCCTAATGGGATCATCTTGGCAGTCACATGTTGCTATTTTGACAAGATACAAGCATGAGCAGCCTCCCTCCCAAACGTGAACAACTAATAAGCTCTTACAGTAGTTTTTGTTTCTGTTCTTTTTATTATTATCTTGTATGATGATAAGCCAATACCAGAATGCATTTTTCATATATTTTTCCATGGTATTTTTTATTCCTAATTCCTGATTCAATTGAGATAAATAATTGCCTCAGTAGCATCACTGACCTGTAAATTCAAACTTTTATTTTCAGTCTTTCTTAATTAAATTGCTTTATTCTGCTTAATAATGTCCATAATACTTACCTGATTTGGAATGAAATATTGGAGTGAAGTAGAAGGAAAGGAGCATAGTTCTAAGTGAATCTCACAGTGAATACACAGTGCCTGTTCTGTATCATGCATATGTATTATTAAAGCTAGCTTGAGGAATGTTATGCTGTTTAAAAGGGTTATGCATTGATTTTTGTTCTCTGATTGCTTTTCGTTTCACAGAAACATGCTTCCAGAGCAGAAGGACCTTGCACTGAAGTCAGCAATGCTGATAAGGTTCTACTGATTTTTACATAGTTAAACTTGACTCTAACTCTTCCAGTCCATCTTCATTCTTTCTTTTCAGTTAACCATCACAACCATCTTTTGTCTTCTACATGACATGAACCAACCATCAACTAATTTTGTTTCCATCATTTTAATTTATTCATATAATCTACTTTTGTTTTTCCTCATCCATGTTTTTGTGCAGAGTTCACATGAGACTCTGGACATAGTGGAGGAGAAGAAGCAGGCAGAGGTTGGGATAGAAGAAACACTAGTCATAGACGAAACCAACAAAGGGAAAATACAAGTTGCCACTGATGCTGGGGAAACATGTAAGGTGGAGCACTTGACAAAAAAGGACTCTTCTTCTTTGCCATCAGATAGTAGTAGCAGCAGCAGTAGTAGTGAGAGTGAGGATGAAGAGGTGGGAGAATACCAGCCACATCACAGGGCTGTTGAGGAAGTCATCAGAGAAGAACAGGAAGAAGAGGAAGATGTGAAAAGGAAAGAACATGAAGAAAAAACACAGCACATGGAAGCCACACCAGAAGTCAGTCAGCTAACTGTACCAGCTGAGCACACACAAGAAGTTGCAGCTGAAGATCTGGTTCAGGAAAATGCAACTACAATACCTGCAGAGGAGAAGAATTTGTCAGAGGAAATTAAGCAAGGCCTAGGTGAAGAAAAGGAGGAGGAACAGCTCAAACTCAATGGAGATGTGTCTCATGTTGACATTGATGTTTCATCACAAGTAATTTGTTGTTCTGAGGTAAATGGTAGAACAGTTTGACAACTAGATTAAGCAGAGAGATTTCTTTGGGTGAAAATGTACCTGCCTTTCTTCTTCTCCTATTCTTCCAGCTGTTACAGCATCCAACAAGATTCAGATCATTTGGAAGGGGAAACCACTGATGAGCAGTGAATTTCTGTCTCTTTCAGTTATGGTTTCTGGCTGTTTGCTGCAACTGGTTGAGAATCACCAGTAAAGCAAGCCTTCCGAAGACTGCCATCTCCTTTTTATACCCCCTTATTTTATATATGTATACATAATGTTATTTATTATTTGTGTCTCTTATGTTTTAAGTCTTGTCTTGTCTATTTGTCAATTGTTTTTGACACGTCCATGACACACAATTGTAATTGGAAAATTATTGGTAATTGGAATTAGAAAACATCCATCCCAAATTTTAGTTTCTTCTTTTCCCTCATTATTCACTGCTTTTCTTACTTTTTTTTCTTTTTAAAGATGTGTTATGAAATTACAGACTTGAGTTAGTATTTCTTTCAGTGTGTGTATATGTTTGCTATTACACTATTTAGGGAAGCATAGGTTAGTTCCAGTCAAAGTCACTCAATTTTAGCCAAACAAGGTTGGAAGGGTACTTTATTGGGTCATCTTTGGGGGGGAAAAAAAAAAAAAAAAAAAGGAAAAAACAAGTGGAAAAAAACACAAGTGTGGCTATGCATGTCTTTGTAACGTGAGCATGATCTTTTACTGAGGTTTTCAAAAATTGAGAGTTATTTTTTTCTTGCTTGTGTTACATCAGTGGCTCCTTCTCCCCACGCACACTTAAACGAGTTTTTATGTTCTTGTCTTCTAAATACATAGTCTCAGGTGTTCTGACTAATGACCTGAAAAAAATAGTTTATAATCCCTTAAAATGCAAGAGTCCAAGTTGTTTTTCTGTTCCAGTAGTGCATATTCAGAAACTAAACTTTTACATTATTACTGGAATTTCTTGTCCTCATTTGCAATTGGGCTAAGTAAAGATATATTTTTCCAGTATTAATTTTGAAGTGAAGCATATCCACCTGAGGTAGCTATCAGTTTCTTATTTGATGGAACCTTTACAAAAACAGATTTTTTTCCTACTGATGCTTCTTTACACATTTTAAATACCTTTCAGCTGCGTTTTATCAATTACCTTCTGTGATATTTACCATTGGCTGAAACATGGAATATTGGCAAAGCTTATTAGGAGATAGGTATTTCCTGTCGTGTATGTGCATTTATTATATCATTTCACTTTGATTATTGCATGCTTTACAAATGAGAAGAGAGACAAATACTTATCTTAATCTTAGGCTTCTTATGTATTTTTTATTTTACTTTCTTGCACTGTTCTACAAACTTACTTCTTATGTCTTTTGAGTTGATTGCTTGTTTCTTGCACCATAGCCTCCAGTAGTGAAAACAGAGATGGTAACCATTTCAGATGCCACACAGAGAACTGAAATCTCCACAAAAGAAGTTCCAATTGTTCAAACAGAAACTAAAACCATCACATACGAATCCCCACAGGTACAATGGCAGGGTGATTTGTTACACTGTTTGAAAGCTAAGTTTTGTTCCAATAATTTGTAGCTCAAAATAAATCATATCAAAGATATATGCTTTTCAAAAAAACTGTACTTTCTCTTGCAACTAAGATTATAGTTTGGCTATGAGAACTTAAGTGAAATGTGTGTAAATAAAACAATATTTCTACTAAAGTTCTGGAAGTATTTTTTGTTGATAGAAGAATTTCATTGTCTGCAAAGGTATAACTCATTTAGTTTTGAAAACTTGGTTAAAATAGTAACATTGCTTCTGAAAAAAGCACTTAACTTTGGTCATAAAGTTTACACTATAATAAACCTTAACAGTCTGCACAGACTGTAAACTTGGTGGCTTTGGTTTAAAGTTCGGTGTTAAATTTTCAAATTGAACTAAAGAATAAATGTATGTTTAGTAATTAAAAAAAAAAATCTCTGAAAACAAAGCTTTTAAATGTTAAAAATGTCATTTCTCTTTTTACAGTTTGATAGCAGTGCTGGTGGCAGTGCTGGTGTGCTGCTGAGTGCACAGACAATTACATCAGAGTCAATTTCTACTACCACAACTACACACATCACAAAGGTAAAACAGATAATCTCTCTTAACTTAAACAAAAATCTAAGTCTTACATGAAGTCTCTTTTAGCTTAATATATGCTAAACTATCAAAGAAAACTGACTTGTGATAGATTAGATTCATTCCGGGCACATGTGGGAGTTGTTTTTTTTCTACACTCTGATTTTGAACAGAAGAGCCTTAATAAATAAACAGGAATATCTGGGAACAGGATGGAGAAAATTAGAAAATGTGGTATTTAATTTTTTAATTATTTTTAGCATTTCATGTTGATCTTATTTCTGCGTTTAGTCAGGAAAACACCAGTAAGTTCATCTCTTCTGTCACATGGTGCTGTCTTATAGAATCTTTGTTAACATCATCTGTTTGTCTCAGGTCTGCAGAAACCTTGCTCATGGTATGTCTTTTAACAGTGTGCTGAAACAATGTTTCTTTAGCCTCTGTGTTCACTCTCCTTTGTGTACTGCTAGGTTTAGAGCATACCACTACTATACCATACCACTACTCTTCTTTGCAGGCAGATTTTGGTGTTGAATTATGTGTTCTGAGTTCCATGCTTGGAAAGGAAAACTAAATGTTAACAGGACGTGACATCTATTTTGGTCTCCTATACTGTTTCGTGTAAGGCAGAACTACAGAAGTGTCATTTTTATTCATCATTTATGTAAATACCTAATTTGGGGTGTTCCTTCAGCAATGTGAAATAACATTGAAAACTTGTTGTCAGAATAGTGCAGAAACTACATATCGACATACATTCGAATATTCAAATAAGTTTGAATTTAATGTGGGATTATTTAGAGAATGAGAAGCTCATTGCTGGATAGATTGAAATCAAAGAAAAGACTCCTGGAATTCTTGTTATTGCCAGATTTGTATAATGGAAAAGCCCAGAATTCTTATTTGTCTGCATATTGAGGTCTATTCAGACCTGGACTCCAATAACAAAAGGAATTCTCCATTCCTTGTTTTCTAATCAAGCTTTTTTTTTTTTTTTTTAGCAGTGGCTAGCATGTAACGAACTGCATAACTGAAAAAGGAAAGGATGACTTAGTACCACAAATACTTACAGTTAACTGCAGCCTAGTGACACAAAAATGTACAATAAAGTAATGCTTGTGGCTGTAAGAACTAATTACACTAAGGTGCTTTCTTGTTTTTTGTGCCATCTGTAGATGGTTAAAGGTGGTGTATCGGAAACAAGAATTGAGAAACGAATTGTTATTACTGGAGATGCAGATATTGACCATGATGAGGTGAGTATCTAAACTATTAATGCTTAGTATGTTACTAGTAGTTCGGTGAGATCTAGGAAGTGTTTCAAAAAAACAAAATGGGAGAAAGGTAGAGAAGCTGAATATGAAGACGTAAAAAGATCCCAAGATTGTTGATTGCAGCAAACTTGTTAGGCTCTGGTGTTAACTGAATAGAGTATGACTGAGAGATATAATGCAAAGTCACAAATGCTTTTAGGTTATGTGAGTAGATTTCATACTATTTTTAAAGGGATTGTTTATTTTAGAAAAGACTCAATTTGTTTAGTGCTGCTTTTGCCATTTGGGAGGAAACGCATGACTAAAATCTATTTTGGTACATTAATCTAGATAGATAGGAGTCTCTGCTGCTTTATGTCAGCAACATCTGAATGTGGAATTAATCTCAACTAAAAGCTTTGAAATATATTAAAGCATAAAATCTTGAATGTGTAAAATAGTTTTTTGCTTCTATTTACAGAATTCTGTACAACAGAAAGTATTGTTGATTTGCAGAAGTCTTATATAGGTGCTTTTGATCTCTATTAGCACCAAAGAAGTTTTGTTTTACAATGTCTTGGAAATAAAGGTTAAAATTACTTCTATCTGCCCAATTGAGAAGATTGAATTTAAGAAGTACACCAAAATATTTGAGAAAGAACTGTGATTAACTATTCTTTGTAGAGACAATTGCACTTTTTCATCTAAGAAACTGCAATGAAAAAGTCAATCAACAGTCACTGCATAATACAAATGAAAAAACTTACCTTATACATAAAGTTGCAGTGAATCCAATTCTAACTTTATGAAAGCTGCGCAGTTCAACAGAATTTAATTTAACTACTTAGTATAATATAGTGAGAGCTTTCAGGGAATTTAATTTCAGATTTTGATCTGCTGCTAGAAAGTGGCTCTTGACAAGTTCAAGCTCTTCTTGAAATTTGTAATTAAATGATAGGGTTGTTCAGCATTAGGCGTTGCTCTTGTCTGCCTTGCACAGTGCTCTTGGGACATCTCAAAAGGTCACACAATACCTTTAGTATAGTAGGCAGTGCTTTTAGTAAAACCATTCTCCAAGCCGTCCTTTGTTTTGAGATAAGTAGGTAATGGAGCAAAATAAATGAAATTATTGTTTATATATATTTAATCACTGGAATGTAAAGCAATGAGCAGCTCTTAACAAATTTAAGAAACCTCTATTGCAATCTCCTCAGTAGATACAGAGCTCTTGAATCGCAAAGTGTTTTGTCTTCTTGCCACCTACATTACTAAAACAGTACTCAGCAGTCCCTTCCTTTTAAATCATTGTTTGTAGTGCAGAGGTTACATTTGGTATGTTGTAAAATACAAACCAGTTACAAATCTGTAAGATTATCACATGAGCAAACGTTGGTAATTATACGCAGTGCATGCACTGTTCCTTTATTAGAACCAACCTCATTTTGTCTTTATTTGCCCAGTGTGTTGCAAAAGTTCTAAAACTTATTATATAAAGTGCTCTGTCTTCTGGATTAAGATGGAAACATGACAGCGAGAATCTTATGGTTATGTGCTACTTGCTGTAAATTTCGAAGCCTTACATTAGTGTATTTTGTAGTTGTTGTTTGCTGTTTCTTTTGGTTTTGGTTTTTGTTTTCCCCCGAGCCCTCTCATGTTTAGGAATTTTAGATTTCTGAATAATTATTCCTGAAATTGCTGATGCTGCACTCCTAGTCTCAGGTCTCTTAAGAGCTGCGTTCTGTTCTCTGGTCCCTGAAAGCCTCCTTTAATGCTTCTTCCTGCTGTTAAGTTATATATTTTGAATGTGTTTGCAGGCTCTGGCACAAGCAATCAAAGAAGCCAAAGAACAGCATCCTGACATGTCTGTCACAAGAGTAGTGGTGCACAAAGAAACTGAACTTGCTGAGGAAGATGAAGACTAAAATGTAAAATGCCCTCAGGCAAATATTTCAGGTAAACTTATAATAAACTCATGCTGCAATTTCTATCTGTATTTTCTACTACATTGTCTAATAAGTTGGCTTGAAAAATGATACAGTATTTGCTATATATTATGAAATGCTGGATTTAAATGGCGTTAGTAGAAGACAGTTAATGTAAGTTTTATTTTAAAGTCTAATCTGACATTAAATTCACGTCTCCCTGAAAGTGTCTCCCTGGTTTCTCATAATGCTCTTGTAGTATTTCCTATGATGTTTGCTCAAGATGTGGTTTTCACATTAAGGGGAGTTTGGTCTACGTCTGCAAAGCACAAAGATGAAGTGATGACTTCCTGTTTATGCTACAATGGAAATGTACAATTGCAGTCCTTGCCTTACCTTTTGCTTAGTTAGTAGGAAGACTGCAGTTATCAGTAGAGAGAGGGCCTGCTCTGACACTTCAGTTCAGTCAGTTTATTCTCCATCTTAACCACACTGAAATATTTGCCTTCTGTTATTTTCTCAGATGAGAAGGTAGATGCTTTGATAGTTGAAGTTTTTAAGTCCTTTTGTCAGTTGAAAGAGAAATTTGAAGAGGTGCCGATTCAGTAGGCTCTCATTTCAGCTGGAAAATTATTGTACATTCTTTAGTTTTAGAACTGTTTAATTTGAGTTTGGACTTTTTTTTTTCTGTTGGAAAAGGTCAAAACATATCCCATTCTTACTGAAATTCAAATATCTATTATATTTGCAGTCATTCAATGATTTAAAACTAAAAGCTAAGTTTAAACAAGGAAACTGATTTTTTTTGTTATAGATGACCTACTTACCACCAATTTCCTAGTGCAGGCTTTTCATGTAAAGATAGTCTAACGTATCTTCAGGTAAATTAAAACATGTTAGTTAAGACAGCAGGTTTTCACTGTATCTAAGTATGAATGAAGTTAATAAATAGAAGGTAGTTTTTCTTTACTGATGAATGTGATGCTCGTCATATACCAATAACTGTGCTTTCGTTGGATGTTCTATAAGTTTTATTATACTGAAATATTTATTTTAGAAAAATAAATGTAATATAAGGTACTATCTTAATTTTTTTCTACTCAAGCAACGTAATCGAGATCTGGATAGACCAGTCACCCTGAGCTATTTCCAAAAATCTGTGACAGTCAAATAAACCATAATGGCCAGGGTTAAAACTGTAGTAGTTTTCCTTACAGAAAATTTGCTTTGGTGATCAGCAGAATTCACAGTGCAAATTTTATAGATGCAAAAAGAATCAATATTTTGGTCACTAATAATAAAGTGGTAGAAATAAAATTAAAAAAAATGCTGCACTTGAAGTATTTAATAGAAAGATCACAATAAGCAACTGAATAAAATCTGCTGTTTCTCTGGTAAAAAACAAATGCTGTGAAGCTCAGTATCAGCTTTGCATTATAAAGCTTCAAGTTTCTTCAGCTTTGTCACACTGATGGATATCATGAGAACTGAAGCTTCAGTGTTTTTGAACTTGATAGGTTGCGTTTGCTGTAGAGTCAACTTCAAAGAGAAGATACTGTTTGGAAGGAGTAAATAACAATGAGAGAGATTTAAAAATAAATAAAAATTAAACAGCACTATCTTAATCCTTTATTTTGTGGGAGAACTCTGAATTTTTACTGATTAATCTCCATGTTTAGCTAGCAGAGCAGAAGGGTTGCTCAGGTGGGGAAACTCTGTTAATATAGAGAGAGACGGTAGAAGAAATTTGTCTTGTATTTTTCCAGTAGTTAAAGTTGTTTTTGATTCTTATTACCTTGGTAATTTATACAGTGGTTGTGTCCTCCAGAAGAGAGCTTCAGGTTTTGCTCGTGCATGCAGACCCTTAGTATTGAATGAGAGAGTTCCAGTTGCCTTTTCTGGCCTCCTACAGATTGTACTCAAATGTTGTTTGTTTTTTTTTTTTTTTTTTTTGTGATGAGAGTTCATAAACTCCTTTTGACTGGTTCTTCTTTAAGCTCTCTGAGAATCTGGAGGCTTTATGTCAGAGTGGAGCAAGTTTGAGCTGCTCTCTTTAAAATATCTTCAGTATTGGTTAGGTTAATGTGTATTTGAAAAAGGAGTGAATAATTTTTGCTTGTAACTTATGCAAACGAAAACCAGTATAGGTCAGATTTGGAAGTGCTAGGTGAATGTTCTATCACTTAATGTTATTGTTAAAAGCTGGAAATAACAAAACGTTGTCTTTTGGTGGATATAGAAGAGTTCTGACGTTTCTTGGAATATCTTCAGAAGTTGCAATGCTCTCAGACAATTCCAGCTGTCAGTAATTTAAAACACACACTGCTGTTCCTCCAAACATTTGTCTTCTTTTGCTATATATAATAAAGATGATTCAGGCCAGAAAGGAATGGACTTGAAGGGCCACAAATCTAGTGCATGTGTGGTGGGATTTGGGGTTTCTGGGGGATAGTGGAGAGGAGTATGTTGTATTGTTGAAATATTTTGTATGCTTGGGAACAAGTGACTAAATGAGGAACTGTACAGGAAAGTTAGTTTTACTAACTTTTCTTGGTGTTCCACCTTGTAGCTTTATTGCTTAGTGACACTGGAAACAACGAGCATGTATTGCTCCAGCTTTCTTTTGAAAACACAAGAGACATGGAGCTGCGCTAACTGTGAGATAGTAATATTATAGAAGTGTTACACATGACCCAGAAAGGCTTGGAAAAATCCACACTGTTTTTGAGAGCTGTTAGTTTGCAGTAAGGAAGATGTCTGTGTTCTAGGTAACTTCTCTACCCCCTTGGTACAGGGCAGTGCTGAACCCACACACTGAAACCATCCTTCTCCTATTTTCAGTATTTGCATAGAAGGATCTAAGGTAGAAAAATGCACTGGGAGCAGAACAAATCATTTTGATTTGTAAGAATTTGTTATTACAGTATGTACTGTAATCACAATACTTCTATTCAGCATGAATTTAAGGATTTTGGGAGTGGGGACTGCTTCTTTTGCTATATCTATGCAGAATGTGCCAAATTTTTCACACTATCTCAATCCACAAAATTGCCTTCCAAATCAGTGTTCAACGTAATCTGTCCCATGTAAGTAATCGTAGCATCTCTTTTGAAGGGACTATATCATGGAAGGAAGAAATAGTCTTCACAGATTTGCACTATATTTCTGCATTAGTGACCAACTGCAAACTTGACTGTGTTCTTTAATCAAATATTCTACTACTTGGTAAAAGTTTTATTGATGACAAAAACTCAAAGAATTGTTTATATGTCCGGAGGGTGTGCTTTACTTCTCTGAGAAATATATACCTTGTACAATGGTGTTTGAAATATTATCAGTGTCAGGTGTTTTTCTCCAAGTTTGCCAATTGCTTTACAGTTTTTTGATCTGGGAGTAAAAAAGGACTAGTCTGAAGACATTTCACCACATTTCTCTTGTATTTCAGACATTGTGATTGATTGATGCCTTTCAGTTAAACGTTCAGGAAAACTTCAGTTGCCCAGACACAAGCACACGAAATGCTGTAAATGTGTCTGCAGCACAGGCTGTCAGAAGACTTATGCCCTTCTTCACCAAGTGAAGGCCAGATGTGAAAATACATTTAGACAACTGTATTTAGGCAATTGAATCACACCATGAATCCACGTTATTTTTTTTTAGTTTTGCCCTCACTACAACTATTGAAATGTTTGTTTTTTTTTATGTAGGCTTGTTTTCTCTAATGAAAGTGAAACGTTGTACTCTTAAGGATTATTAAGTGAGCAAATATCTTCATTTCTCTTTATATTAGATTTCGGATTTTGGATTAAAATTTTAAATAAGGGTACAATAGATAACTGTTGAAACACCATGAAAATTCTGAGGAGGAAGAAATATATTAATGCAAAAAAACATTGACAGAAACTGAATTGCTGCCCACCTTAGGGCCAAAGGAGACTTCAGTTCATGTAACACTCTTTTTTTGTGAAATAACCCTCCCCCAAAATAACTTTTACGTGAAAAATGACTTATTGAATCTGATGCTGTGTAAGTGTCCCATCATCTGCTATGCATGCTTATGTAATCTTCCCCCTCCTTTTTCTTCCAGAAACAAAAATTATGCTGGCCATGATCATAACCTTGAAGAACTGTGATCATCACTGCTCAACTGAATACACCAAGCCTACCAACGATGACCAGAATTTTAAGAATGAGTTGCCAATACCAAACTCAATTTTAACATCTTTGGCCTATAATCCCTTACAGGTTTTCTTGTTTATTTTTTTATAACCACTTCTTAACAAGCTTAGTTTTTTTAATGACACTGTAGAGGGTATTTCACAAATATTTGCATTTCTGAAGCTGATTCTTGAATATGAAAGTGAACAAAAAAAGGGTTTGGAAAGTACTGTTCACTGGAGCAGGTGGTAACTGTGCAGAAAAGGGGTTCTTAACTAATTTAGATGTAGGTTTTTCCCAAATATTTCAATGAAATCTCTTTCTGAAGTAATTTACAGATTTTTTTTCTTTTTTTTTTTTTTTCAGATTATTCAGGTAAATATATGGTCTCACATAACAAAGCTTTTTTAATAAAAATACAACCTTTACTAAAATTTGAAAATATATATTTCTTTGGATAAATTTTGTACTGGTATCTCCTGTAACTCCTTCTGTTCCAAGATTCTCCTCTCTGTGGGGCAGAGATGGTGTGGCAGTCTGTAGAGGAGAAAGAGTTACAAAGAAATTTCTTTTGACTCAGCACTGTGTTCTCTTTGCACTTTGGTGCCAATGCTCAACTTCTTGTAGACGTTTTGCTGTCTGCAACATTCCAGATAGGGAGAGAAAGAATATCAAAATATCTTCTTCCAACAAGAGATCTAGGCAGCTTAAAACCTTAGTGCTTTTTTTTTTTTCTTACTGTGTCCAAACTTCAACACTTCCATTATTTGAATACACGTGTAGAATGCTTGCTTTCTATTAAATCTCACTGCCTACATGTTAGAACTGACATTTGTTATTGAGAAGGTATATGTTTCAGATACTTTGTCTAATGGTTAACACAGGTTTTTAAGGACACTGAGTAAAAGTATGAGGTGGATTCCATTCATAAAGTAGTAAGACAGAACCATCGTTTGAGACTGCCATTGAAAAAACCTGTTAATTATTTTGGATTTCATTTTTATTTAGTTCTTGGGGAGGGGGGGAGGAGGTTGGTTGTTTTTTGGAGTTGTTTTTGTTTTGTCTTTGTTTTGCTGTTTGACTCTGTGTATAGTTAAAATGCCAAATTAGATTTTATAGCAGCTTGAAGTTGTATTAAGTGATATTTTTGCTTTCTGTAATTCTGTTATAAAATAAAGTTGTTTATTCTCTGTATGACTACTGGCACTCAAGCATACATTTGGTAAATATTTAACATGAACACATCAATTTTGAAATAACATTCTAGAAGCCAAAGAACCTTAAGTATTAGGGGCTAGTACAGATAGTTTCCAGGCTTAATTGAAGGTTAGCACATTTATTGTCTTCTATTAATCTATCAGTGTGTTTCTTTAAGTGTTTTCCAATTAGCATCTCAGTCTGTAATTTGTAGAAGTCTTAAAAACTCCAGAAAAATAAGAGATTTGGACAGCACTACTCAAGAGGAAATGCCCCAGTCTATGAGCTGTTCTGAGTTAACTGAGTAAGGATGTACTGTGATTTTAAAACAACAAAACAAATCATAAAACCTCTCAGTAATATTTTTTTCTCACTTTCTGAGTGATGTATTTTTTTGGTGCTGTTCTCAGTTTAGACTGCTGCCATCTGTTGTCAGCATGCTTGGTTAACTGAAATTCCTTCTCATTTTGGCTCTGGTAATTTAGATAATATAATACAACAGTAGCCAAGATGTTGATTTTTTTATATACACAGGTGTTCTTAATCGCATCCCACATGAGCCTGAAAAATAGCAGATAACAGTCCTACGTTTTTCTTCAAAAAACAAACTGTCTTTAGAAAAGAGAACCTCATCCAATCTAATAACATAAGAACACTACCACAACACTGTGCAAATATAGTGTTTTTTAACACTAACTTCCACCACGAGCTGTATTTTTTCAGATACCAATCGGAACCTTATGCTAGGGAATAATTGCTACTGCCTTCAGGTCAGCATAGCTTGTGCACAGCTATCACTTCCATTGAGTAAACATGTATTAATTAAACAGCCTTTGTCATGCAGAAAAGCTTAGGCTCCAAGAGTGCATTGTAAAAATAGTCAGGTTTTAGATATTTTGGTTGTGTGCATTTATTCTAATGTTCTGGAAAACTCTGCAATTCTGATTAGTTTTCATTGTTACTTTTTTATATATCCATAGGAAAAACTTCAAAATGCAACAAAATAAATTGTTCTCGGGACATTTCACAATCTGGCTTGTCAATACCTAGGCGATTTCAAATACAATTATAGGACCATTTCCTGAAAATCTGGAGAAGATATTTGATTAAATAATTCAGCTTAAATACTGTTAGAGAGAAGTGATTCAAGTGGATTCTATACCAAAACACTTAATAAATCTTTTAAATTATGGTCATCCAAGGGTTCAGAATAAGTGTTAGTATTGTACTCCTGGAGTTTGCTAGATTAAGATAAAAGATTAAGGCTTCATAAAGGACAAGCAAGCAACTCCGGCAACAAGGTAGTTTAATTATACAGATATTGCTCAATGCAGTAAGCAATTGCAATACAGTGTTTTGTAAAATATCCTGAGTTGGAAGAGACCCACAGGGATCATTGAGTCCAACCCCTGCTCTGCACAGGACCATCTAAAATCCAAATCCTATGTCTGAAAGCACTGAATTCTGGCACTTGGGGCCATGCCCACTGCCCTGGGCAGCCCATTCCATGCACACTGCCTAGTGAAGAACCTTTTCCTAACACCCAGTTGCTTCTCCCCTGACACAGCTCGATGCCATTCCTTCAGACCCTGTCGCTGCCACCAGGGTGCTCAGCACTGCCCCTGTACTCCTCTCATGAGGAGCTGCAGGCTGCCGTGAGATCTTCCCTCAGCCTCCTCTGTTCTGAGCTGAACAAACCAAGAGATCTCAATTGTTCCTTGTGTCTTGTACTCCAGACTCTTTAGCATGTTGGGTGCCTTCTTTTGAACACTCTGTACATGTCCTTTTCCTTGCTCACACAGCTTGAGGTGGGACAGCACAGTGAGACAAATCCCTCTCCCTACCAGGCTGGCGGTGCTGGGCCTGGTGCACTCCAGAGTACGGCTGGCACTTTGGCTGCACACTGCTGTTTCAGATACAACTTCTTATCAACCACTCACTGGACTGGCTCCTGCAGGACTGTTCTCCAGCCGCTCACCCCCAGTCTGTACCTACATTCAGAGCTACTGTATTCCAGGTGCAGAATCTGGCACTTACCCCCACTAAACTTCGAGTGGTTGGTGATTGCCCAACCCTCTCATTCATCAAGGCCTCTCTGCCCTAGAGGGAGTCAGCTATTTACAATTTGTCGTTTTCCACAAGCTTACTTAGTACACATTGAAGTTGTATATTCAAGTCGTTAATGAATATGTTGAAGAGAATTGGCCCTAGAATTGAACCCTGTACAACTCCACTAGTGGCTGGCCACCAGCCTGATGTAATCCCATTTACTAGAACTCTATGAGTTCACTATTTACGTTACGTTTTTTCTAAGCGTATTATGGATGTTTTCTCCAAAAGAATGCTGTGAGAAACAGTGTTGAAAGCCTTGCTGAAATTCTAAAATTTCAGCAGGCTTCCCTTTGTGGACTAGATGGGTAACATTTTGATAAAAGGAGTGTAGGTTAGTTTAACAGGACTTTCCCCTCATAAACTCATGTTGGCTGCAAGTAATGACTGCATTGTCTTTCAGGTGTTTTTCAGTCACTTCCAGAATAATTAGCAGCATATTCTTCTCCTTAACAACTTAGGCTGAACAGCAACTTTTAGTTTAGACGCGGAACAAATCAGCTAGATGGAATAAAATATAATAGAGATCAGAGTGATGATTAACTGTACCCTTGACCAGGATGCATCAGGAGCTTCCTAGCTTTTAGGCATGTTTACAATGAAAATGGGCTACCTGGAGCAGCTGATATCCCACACTGCTGCCTGACACCACTCCAGTTTTGAAACTGTTTTGATTTTTCAGGCTGCTTTGTTGTATATTTGCTTGATTTCACTTCTTTTTTTTTTTTTTTCTTCTTATATTATAATTGGGAAACCATACACTTGAATTAGTAATATTTGTATAATTTAGGTATTAGCAGCATTGCTAATGCTTGTATAGCATTAACTTATTCTGTTTAGCATGAAGGAAATCCAGTGATATTTTTGGAGGTGTGTATATATGAATGGCTAAATGACTAACTCTCCCAGAACACTGCTACTGATTGTTGCCTACGGATGTGTACAAAAAGAGAATAAGTACTATACTAGAAAGTAGTACTTTCCCTAAATACTGTTAGAGATTTCATCAGTTTTCAGAGACCTATTGTATTTCTTTATCTGCCTCAGTATATTTTTTGTTCTGTACATTTGCTATTTGCTTCTTAAAGATTTTGCTCTGTAGTGATATTTAAATGTATATTTTTCTATTTTCAGAGAAACAAAGTAAGATATAATGACATTTTTCATGCCAATAGCATGAATACAGGAGGTTCTTGACACTATTCAGTAATGGAACTGAGAACAGCAAGACCTGAAGATTTTCATGGCTTGTTACTGAGTCTTGAATGACAGATCCTCCTACATGTTAATCAGCAGTTGTGGTGAAGGGATCCTAGTGGTTTTCTGTTATAATCCTCATTTAATATATATATAATATTTTCCTTAATAGCTCTAATAGCACTTTACTGAAAAGTACTCTTTAAGAGTGATATATATATATATCATTTATCATACATATTATTTTATATCTCTGACATTTTGTGAATCAGCAAAATTTTGAGTTGTAATAAGGCTGCTTACTGAACTTTGATTCTGTATCTTTACATGTGGTCTAGGCAAGTCATTCTTTGGGTGGGGTGGGAATGGGTGTTTGAAATTAAAGGGTTGCAGTGGAGAGGGTACAATTGCTTTAATCTCTGATTTTGGCATTAGTCACTGCTTTTGTACCAGCATCATGTTTCTTTAATGTAAAATAACAATTCTGTGTAGAATTGGCATATACATAATGCTGAAGAACCTGATCTCTTTGAATATCCAGGGAACCATTTGCATTTTTTATTATCCATTATCTCTAAGCATGATTTTTGTCTGTCAAAAATAAATATATCTTATCAGGTGTTCTCAGTGAGACCTATGGTGAGGAGCACTGAGTAAGAACACCAAGCAGGATATGGTTCTTATTCTGTATCCACTCAGATGGCAACTCTTCCTGACCCACACCATTTACAACCTGAGATCTCAAAAGTGACCAAGTGTGTGGACCCTGCCTATGAACCTACCAGATAGACCGTCTTTCCTGCCAGATATGAACCTACTTCTACCAGATAGACCGTCTTTCCCTGCCAAGAGAAATATGGAATAAGGATTACAACAGGGAAGAATACCCAAAAACTGGAAGGCGTCCTCTCTCCTTTGAAGCTGTTACCCTCTCTCTGTTTTTGTAAGCAGATCATTAGAATCAAACTTTCAGATCTCTCACCTTAGACAGCACACCTGACTCTAACTTTAGGATCTCTACTGATTGAGGTGTGTTTCATCTTCACCTTACAGGAACACTGTCCTGAAGACACCATTATCTGCGTTACCAGGAGAACAGAGTTTAATGTAGGTTCATTTAGATGACTATGTTCTTTATATGGTCAGAAATAGCTGTATGAGTTAATATCATCTTCTTAAGAATATTTATGTATTACACCTTAGTCTCTGAAGCTTTGTGTCACGTAAGTATTCATAAATACAGTACTGACACTGTGGTAACTATCTTAATTTATCTTTAGTGAACATTAAATACCTAATGACATAAATTCAAGTTTAGAAGCATTAAAGTTAAATGAAGCATCACATTTTTTTTCGTCATCTGTTTTTATGGGGTCAGGATGCATCTTTTGAGGAAAGTAGTGTTATTTTGGCTACTTAGTGCCAGCACTTAACAGCAGAGTTTGTTAAAGGTAGGAGCAGGCCAATATTGAGAGCTCTTTGGACTCTCTGCTTTTATAATCTGGATGTGCTAGATTTTAAGAAAAGCATACTCTACTTTGGACTATGTTGCGCTATATCTGCCAGGTAACGTAAAAGCCCAGGTCAGAGAGGTAAGGAAGAATGTGCTCCTTAATGTCCTGATATATCGGTTTCATGTTGTGAAAGTAAGGTCTACTTAACAACTGGGTGATAGAGAGCATATTTCTGGTTTAAGAACTGCCTTTGGAGCGTTATTCTCCAGGAAGGGGAGGGGGATTTCTGAGTATGTGAGACACACACATCCACATTTAGAGAGTTCTTTTTTTCGTTATTTCTTTTTGTAAGAATTTATTCAAGATTTGTCCTCAGGATAAAGTAATAAGTGTTTGGAAAAATACTGATTACAACATTCATTCATTACAACATTAGGGCAACAAAGCTGGTGAGGGGTCTGGAACACAGGCCATATGAGGAGAGGCTGAAGGAGCTGGGAATGTTCAGCCTGGAGAAGAGGAGGCTCAGGGGAGACCTCATTGCTCTCTATAACTTCCTGAAGGGAGGTTGTAGTGAGCTGGGGGTCGGCCTCTTCTCTCGTGTCATTAGTGATAGGACCAGGGGGAATGGCTTCAAGCTACGGCAGGGGAGATTCAGGCTGGACATGAGGAAGTATTACTTTTCAGAAAGAGTGGTCAGGCACTGGAATGGACTGCCCAGGGAGGTGGTGGAGTCACCGAGCCTGGGGGTGTTCAAGGAAAGACTGGATGTTGTGTTGAGGGACATGGTTTAGTGGGAGCTACTGGGAATAGGTGAACGGTTGGACTGGATGATCTTGAAGGTCTTTTCCAACCTTGGTGATTCTATGATTCTATGATTCTATGATTCTATGATTCTATTTTTTCAAACTTTGGCAAGATCAGCGATATCCTTCTGTTTCCCATCATTGTCATATTTTATTTCCATACTTTAGAAAACCTACGATCTTTCACAAAGTATACAAGCGGATAAAAATAAGTCAGTTCCCCCCCATCACCCTTTTTCAATTTCTAGATGTCATTGCTTGGTATGAACTTATTATTTTTGCATTTTCAATTTAATATGACGGCCTTCATTGTATATGTAACTCATCTCTCCCAGGAGCTTGTTAAATATTGAGTGTACTTCTCTGTAGGCTGGTGAAGGACTGGTGAGCAAGGTGCTTTCTATCCCACTGAATCCTGTGCCACATAAACAAACTGATGCGGTACATTGCAGGAGGTCTCTGGTGTCTGATGAGCTGATGAAAGTACTGATCACTTGGCCACAGGTGAGAGAGCAAAACTGCTATGAGGTCTTTTTGAATGGCAACAACTGTTTGATTAGTACCGCATGGCACTAGCTTCTCTCCATTTTGTTCTCCTCTATGATATTTATCTTCAGCTGGTTGTATTTAAGCCTGAAGAGCTGAGCACTGATTGTAACCTTGTATCCTGAGGCTTGAGACTCCCTTTAATGTCATTCAGATCCCCTATTTGTTTGCGTTTTTCCGAGATCTCCATGGTTTCTGCTGATTGATGTCGTAGTTTGGGAGGGTGTTTCTGGGGTCATACAGCATGGCCAGCTCCTTATCAACTGGAAAATCAAGCAACAAATAATTACATAAGATGAATTTTTAAAAGAAAAGGAGCTAGCATTAATTGTAAAAGCTTATTAAATTGAAGATGCATGATTGGCACACTAGTATTGATTTGGATATTTCTTTAAGTCTTCTGAATGCAAAACAGTGACCATGCCTATTTCCAATGAATCTCTGACATAAACTCTGTTGACACTGAAAGAAATACACTATTCTCATTTGCCTCTACCACCTTTCAGTCAGTATAAAATCTTTCAACAACTACAATAAAGCATAGAATCAGTATATCCTGAGTTAGAAGAGACATACAATGATCTCTGAGTCCAACTCCTGGCTCAATACAGGACCACCCAAAATTCAAGCCCTACGTCTGAGACTATTGTCCAAATGCTGCTTGAACTCCAGCAGCTTGGGGCTGTGCTCGCTGCCCTGGGCAACTGTTCCCTGCCCACTGCCTTCTGGTGAAGAACCTGTTCCTAAAACCATCCTGACCCTCCCCTGACACAACTCCATGCCATTCTCTTGGGTCGTTTTGCTTTCACCAAAGAGCAGAGTTCAGCGCTGCCCCTCCGCTCCCCTCATGAGGAATTGTACGCCTCAGCCTCCTCTTACTTGGGCTGAACAAACCAAGGAACCTCAGCAGCTCTTCACGTCTTGCCCTCTCAACCCTTCAAAATGTTGGCTGCTCTCCTTTGAAGCTCTGTAATACTTTTATATCCTTTCTATGTTATAGTGCCTAAATCTACACGTGCTGATTGATATGGGACTGCACCAGTGCAAAGCAGAGTGCTAGTTAGTGTCTTCTGAATATTTGCTTTCGGTTTTACTGTGGCTGTGTCAAAACAGCCTTTTATCATTGTCCTGATCCTTCCCACACTGCTTGTGGTACAAACAGAACAGAAACACAATCTCCACCCCTTGCTTTTTCAGAACAACACAGCATCATGAGAGGCCTGGAGAATATTTAGGGACCAATAGAGAAATTAAGGGGAAAAAAGGTGGAGAGGAAAAAAAAGTCTAGTTAGTATAAAAAACTTTGTCGCAAGACAGTATCTTTCCTTGTCATTGCTAATTGTTCAAAGTATTGCTGTTTACTTTGTTAGTTTTAGTTTTAAGAAATCTTAAGGGGATGATGCTACCTATTTTGATAGATTTAAATAGATACCCTTGTGCTTCATAGAGAAGAACAAAGTGCTCATTTGACAATGAAACAAAGCAGCCTTGCTTGTAACAATGCAAATTTGGGTCATTTATTTTTAACACAGCCTAAATAAATGTGTACTGAGGCAGAATTTCTGAGGCTTTGCTTAGAGTGGCTGCTGGCACTTAAAGGAGTCTCTTCCCAGGCTTATCTCTTTGTTATGTGGCTTGCCTAAGGATCTGGAGCTGACTCAGCTCATCTGCTCAGGGAGAACTGCTCACCATGGTCCATGTTAGCTGTCTGAGACTTGAGCGATGGGCTGGATTCTGGCTGACTCAGAACAAGCAAAGGAAGCGCTTGGTGGTAAAGCTGGGACAGTGATGCCCAAACAGATTAGGCAGACAGGAATTAATCTTCCACTCTACTAAGAATCCCACCCAGGACGCCCGTGAGAATTTCCTTCCCTGGATCACTGGACAGTCAGGGGTATCTTTTCTTTCATGCTTCTCATCTAGGAAACGGAGAAGGAAGAAATATTCCTTTGACAAATTAGTCTGCCAGCCAGATCGTTCACCTCTCTTGAAAACTTGATTGTTATTCTTAGAAAATTTAGGAAATTATGATCCAAAGCTGAAGGCCAGGCTGTTTCAGTGGCTGATCACACAGCATGACCAGGAACGTCTGTGAGGTTTTCCAGGTGGTTTCTTTTGATTTAATGAAAATATTTTCTGAACCTCAGCAAAATACCCAAACCCATGGGATCTGTATCCCATCTCCTCTTCCTATTTTGGTCAGTCTTGGCTGGAGTAGGAAAGCAAGAGAAATGTCACGTAAAAATGAGTGCAGTGTTATCTCAGTATTGTTTCATAGCAACTGATGTCTAACTGTCACCTGGTCTTGATTTGCCTGCAGAGCCCTGTGGTCAGGATTGACCTAGCCAAGTCCACATTTGAGATCATGAGGGAGCTGCTGGATCTGCAATCCACAGCACCTGCCTCATGAGTGTTTGTCCTACACAGGTTTTGCATCAAACTATACCAAGAAGCATGTGAAGTTTACTGAGGGAATCTAGGATATGATCTGATGTCCTTCAACACTCTCTTAGGATGAAAGGTCAAAATGCAGCTGATTTCAGGAACAAGCTTAGCCCAGTTTCTGGAGGAAAGGGTTTTGAAAGGGTTGAAGGAATGAGTTCTGATATGACAGATATGAGCCCTGTGACAGGCCTCAGCATAGGCAAAACTATGGAGTTTTAAGTGAGGGTTGAATCAAAATTCTAAACATATTCTTACAGTATTTTTCAAATTGGAAAATGACCCAAAATGCATACAGCTTCAGAAAATTATGATCAGTGTTCTCTTCAGTTTAGTTAATAGTACAAGCCTGAAAGCAGACTGTTAAATGAGAAGTTTTGTCTGCCTACCCACTCTTTCTGCCCAAATTCTGACTCACCTTTTGATAGTTGGATCCTGAAATAGACAATGAGCAGCAGTAGGAGTAAAGTCACAGGCATGAAGATCCAGCCAAAGATAAAGTATCCAGGCAGCTCCCTTGCGAACACCGAAATTATGTAAATTATGCTCATTTCTTCTGCAGCAGCCTAGCTGAATACGTTCCTTCAGATCTCTAAGTGTCGAACCTATTTATCCTGCTTTCTTCCTTTTTTTTTTTTTTTTTTCTGTATCCACATTCTGCCCTTTGCTCAGACCATTATCACTTTTTGGACTTTGGTTTGTTTGCATAGGCCTGTGATTCCTAATAGGACTGGAGTTCACTTGCAAAGTTACTCAGCTGTGGAGTTTAAAAGTGGTTCTTAAAGTAGTGCTGGGCTTCCACACCTTTACATATGTTGGGTTTGGCTCAGTATGTAAAGCTGCTTCCTTTTGAGCCTCATAGACTATCATCCACTAACACTGTACAGGTCATTCTGAATAATAAGCATCTTCTTTACAGACATATTATTGATTTTACAATAAACCTAAATTACTCAATCAAAGTGAGAACCCTGTCCTACATACGGGTCGAACCACACAGGCACACAGGTCGAACCACATGTAGTCACTGCTCTGAAGAGTTTTCAAACCACTGAGGCAGGCATAACTTCAGAGAATGGATACTGCAGCAGCAGATTTTTTTTCTGAAGTGCAGCTGCTGAACCATGACATTCAGGAATGATTCTTTTTTAGAGAAGTCAAAATTATGTGCTCTTTGGGGCTGAACGTACCAAAGAATTCAGTAACCTTTTAAACATTTCAGCGAGTCACTGGGTTTGGAGTGTTCTGTGTATTCAGTTTTTCCTATCTGGTCAGCAGTTTATTGCAGAAGTGTTATGTAGGCTGCACTGGCAGGTTTGAAAAGAAGAGTAGCTGTAATACATCCTTTCTCCACACTTTCAGGTTTCTAAAACCATCGGCTCAGTAGACTTGGCATCTTGACTTCACCTGGGAACACTGCAGGATCTCACTGTTTGACTTGCCTGTATGCTTAACCCTGCAGAGACGTGCTTGTCAGAGATCAGGTAAGTCTAGCAATCTTCCAGTTTTTGGCATATCAAATCTGATGACTACTTAAGGAAGGCATCAGGTAGCATTAAGCATTATGGTATTGTGTCCTCAGCAGGTTGTTACGACGGGGACAAAAAAATCTGTCTCATGTACATTTGAGAGTTGCAAAGGGATTTATTTCTTTAATACCTACCAAATCTAAAATGGAACTGTGAGCTCAATGTGAAAATTACCATTTTAATAGCATCTCTCTGGATGCTCTGCAGTGGGGAATAAGATTTAGGCTGGAGTTTATAGCAGTTAGGCTGGAATTGATAAGAAATGCAGTAGAATCATGAATTTTCAAGGAAAATAAGTATTTCTATGTTCACTTTGTATTCTTCATGTGCTGTGTCAAAAAGGCAAACAACCTCAAATAACATTTATTTTAAGGTTTTATTTGGACTGTAACATATCTAGCATGAGATCCTCCCTTTGTGACAATAAGTGATGGAAAATGTCATGTTTCAGACAGATTCCTTATTATATTATCCATCTGCTGTTTTGATAAATAGAACAAATGGAGAGTGACTTACTTTTTGCTTGTATTTGTTTGGTTTCAGCTTCTAAACGTTATATCTGATTCTGCCTCTTCCTACTACATTTGACCTCATTCATAAAGTGCTTTATGATGAAAAGCACAGAGGATATTAATATTATTGTAGGGCCATCTGTTGCCAGATGACTCTCTCCTTACATACATAGCTGTCAGCTGCAATCAGTAAATTCATTAAACTCTTTTTGTACGTGCTGAGTTAATTCAGATTTTTTTAGACTATTCTGAATGCTGGTGTTCCGATCTGCAAAACAATTGCAACATTTTGATCGTTCTGGATCCTTTTTTTCTTAAGTGTTCTTAAAAAATAATGGTAATAATTACTGAGCAAGCAGGAATTTATGGTGGAATGATAAAAATCTGTGACCTAATTTTAAGTGCTATGGCATTGCGAGTGAGGCACAGGAGTATTTCCGTTTGATACACGTGTGCATGGCACACAAAGAAGTAAATGGCAACAAAATACCTACATACCAGGGCAAAGCAGTTACTTGGGTTATTTAATTGGTTTTCCTTGTGTGCTTGAGATATAAGTTCTATCAAACGCACAGCAGGCACAGAAGATGATGGAGCACGTAGTTACCTTGCTTGTTGCAGCCAAGGGCTCTGGAGCTGTATAGATGATGGACTGCAGAGCAGACAGCTTTTGACTGGTTACCTTCTGCCAAGGAAGAATAGGAGAATTATCTGCCCTCCGCATTTGTACAATCTCTTTTTCAAAAGACGACTGTCACCTTGGATCATAACACTTATAGGAGTGGTAAAACTTTTCTAATGGCAGCTGACATGAGAAATAAGCTTCTATGTTGAAGGAGCACAAATGTAGGCAGAAACAAGGTTAAATATATTTTTATAGTGAGGGTACTTCATTTTCAACAGGATCTCTGTCATTAGCAATTCCGAAATCTGAGTCTGGATGACTTTTAAGATACAGGTTATGCCCCAAAATTAAGTGTATTTGGGCAAGCCAGTTCATCTCAGGCCATACTAGTTCACTGCAAGCAGTCTGTCCGAATGTCTGCAAAGTCACACCAATAAAATTCACGCTTCTGCTGTCAGCTGCCTCTGCCCAGACGGTGTACTAAAAGCCTCCATCATATAACAACACCCATGCCCCCTGCCAGCAGCAGCACTGCCTCATCAGGGCTTTGCACCTGGGCAAATCCTGTGCTGGAGTGGTAGATACACTGTGTGTCCACTGTGTGCAAATATGTGGGCATATTTGTCTACCACAGTCAAAAGAAAAATGGAAAATCTGCCAGGCATGAATCAGTTAGTTAGGCAGGGACATATGCTTTCCTGGATGATCTGTGAAGCTTGGGTATATTTGGGGAAATGGATGAGTTCCTCAGAATCGCTGAATGTCCCCCTACTTCTCTAAAGCCTGACAGAAGCGGCTGATTCATCCCCCTGGTGGTGCTGCTGGCCCTGCAATGCCAGCTGAACTTCTAGAGGCTCACTTTCTGGCTCATGGGAAATTCTGCCATTTTAAAATTTCCCTTTTGACTTGCACCAGAACAAAAATTTAATTTTCCGTGAAATGGAATTTAAGGAACATTAATTTTAAAGCCACCAGAAGTCTTATTTCATCTGTATCATTTTGATTATTTACATAAAATATGACCACAAATGAATTCATGCAAACTTTAAATGACTCGTATTTCCAAAACCTGCCAAGTAACATTAGACATAATGAGCATCACATCTGCCTTGTTGAAGAAATTCAGCTTCTCATCTATGGAGATGTGTGTGTGCTAATCAATATTTTTTGGTTGAATGTTTTAATTCAGTCACCATTTCCAGAAAAAATCTTTCTGGATAGCTCTGCTCAGGAATAATTAAAAGCAGTGTAACACCACTGAAGCTGAGGAGGAAGGAGTAAGGTTTGCCTGTGAAGACTCAACCACAGTAAAGAAAAGAAAGGAGTTACCACAGGTGTTTGAGAGCCTTTTGGGCACCAACCAAAATATTCATGTTCCGTGAGGGCAAACAGCCAACCCTCATGGTGGCTGCATTGACAGAGCTGAAATTGTTCTTTCCCAAAGAAAACCCTGAAAAGATTACAGCAAAACTTAGACTTGGCATTTTTAAATAAATAAATATCTGTAATAATCACAGAAAGGAGGTGGCAGTTTGCTCAGGGCATGGTGATGATGACAGAGCCTTCCAGAATAGACCAGCAGCTCAGGTACAACCCTTATGTTTCTCCCTGATTCAGGGTTGAAACCCTGTTAAGTCGGTTCGAGTTATTGAACCATCTGACAAGACACAAGTTTCTGAGCTTTGAGAGAAGGTAGCAACTAGGTTATTTCTAAACTGGATCCGTTTTCTGATCAGCTTTGCTCTCGGGGCATCCACAGAGGGTGCAGGCGCAGGCTGTGTGTTACACAGGGTGGTGGTGAGCACTCATTGAGGAGGGCCCTTTCCCCAAAGTTTTGGCTGTGCTGCCAAAAGCCAAGCTGCAGCTTTGCTCAGAATGCTGTGAGCAGCCAATCCCTGCGGATGTGACATTTTGGATCTCTGCAGCAATTCCTAAGTCATTACTCATGTGCTTTATTGATAAAGAAAAGTTACTTTTTAATAAGCACGTTGTGTGTTACTAATCCAAGAACCTTAGGAAATCTAAGTGTTTTGAAGCTGTGGTTGCTTTTATCAAACAAACTGTAATCTCATTAACAAAGTAATAGCTATTTTGCATAAACCATGCTAAGTAGCTTATTTGTATTCCAGCTCTCTATCTGAGTGAACAATCTTTCCATTCTCTGCCTTGCATTTTTTCTTTATACTTACAACTAGTTCAGATTATTTGAATTTTGGCATGACAATAATGGATTTCTGATCTCCTGGATGTTAAACTTTACAAAAAATTAACATCAGTGAAATAAAGATGTGCTTGGCCAACTTGTAGTCCTCTTCCAGGATTCTTGATTGCCAAAGTTTTTCTGTTCAACACTGGTTATGTATGTTTCTGCTTTGTTCTTAGTCATCTGTACAGATGAATGTTAATCTGCCCATGCAAAATCTTCTGGCAGTAGTAATAGTGCACAGACATTTCCAATTGTAAATCAAAATATTTACTGAGTAGTAAGGCTTCCTATCCACTGTTATTTAAACCATCAAGATATGGGCTACATACAAAGTGGACATTTCTCTTGTCTCTTGTATAACTTTGAAAGAATGAAAAAAAATCTGATTATTGCTAAGTCCCTTGACCACAGCTTTTCCATGGAAACAGGAGCTGTTAGTGCCACTTTTCTGTCTTCATGGTCAAGATGTGTTGATTGCAATCCTGGCTGGTTTTCTTTGGTTGGTTAGTTGTGTGCTTTTGTTTGTTTGCATTTTTGTTGTTGTTGCTTGTTTCTTTGTTGTTGTGGTGGTGATTGTTTATTTAATTTAGGAAAGACCTTTGCCCAATAAATAAGATTTCCCAAAAATATAATTGTACAGTTGCCCTCCTTGCAGGTTCAGGTAAGAGGTACAGGGAGCTCAAGTCAAGTCCCTCTCCAATACTGTGGTTCAGCAGGAGACAGGCATGAGGTAGGACTCAAGACAATGGCAGCAGAGCAGAACTGGCATCCAGCTGGCAGCAGGACACCAGTTGCCCCACCTCCTTCACATTTGCTTGCTGTGCTATGCCAGTATGTTGTATGTCCCCGTCATACAGCAGGATCACACGGGGCATGTCTGTTCGTGGAGTTGTGGCGATAAGGAGTCTGTTGACAAAGGATTCAGAGAGGATTGGGCTTTGTTAGTCCCACTGCTTAGTGAGGGAAAAATCATTGCTGCCTGCTGCCTTTCCTGTTCAGCCAACAAGGACTGCAGTTCAAAGTCACGCTTGTCCTTGACTGGAAATGTGACTCCAAAAAAGACAGTAAATATTTCCTTCAGAGCTTTCACTTGCATTTCTTTTAAAGAAATACAAAATTATCAAGCCTGTTAGATTTTTCACTAACAAATATTTAAACTTTTTTTTACTAAGCAATTTTGCTGAAGAATGTCTTCAGTTTTGGGAAATAGGTTAATTTTGTGTGTGAGTCTGTTCTTTCTAGGGTGGCCACAGCTCACCTCTGTCTGGACTGGATCCTGATCACTGCTCTGTGAACAGGTACTCTGTCCTGATTTCAGCTGGGACAGAGCTGATTTTCTTCATAGTGCCTGCTGTGTGTTTTTGATTTAGGAGATTCCATGGAATTGTGGAATCATTTGATTTGAAAGGAACTCTAAAAGGCCATCTAGTCTAAATTCCCTGCAGTGAACAGGGACATCTACAGCTAGATGAAGTTGCACAAAGCCTGGTCCAGCCTGACCTTGAATGTTGATAACACAGTAATGTTTTAGTTGTTTCAGAACAGTGCTGCACAGTGCTAAGGACATTTAAGCTCTTCACACTGCCCTGCCAGTAAGGAGACTGGAGATGCA